TGAAAAACATAACCCAGTACTGTGAACACTGTCTGTCCATGGGTTAAATTTGCATGATAAGAAAAGCCTTAAAATGGTGAAGAACCAAGAGAGGGACAGGAAAAGAGAGGGATCTCAGGCAAGGGAAGTGTTGCAGATAAGTTGGCATCAGAAGGCAGGTATGACGCCAGGATGGCTGCAGAGATGAGGAAATGGAAATGAACATATCAAAGCCAAAGTGAAATTTGAAAAGCTTAATGTGTCCCCTTCAGGCAGGAGACTATTAACTAACTAATCTCTGTCTTGCTGTACTGAAAATAATGGTACATGTTATTAGGAATTTAGGAGCGAAGATTTTTTTTATCTATAATTTTTGCCAGATCTTTAGTGAAAATACTTGATATATATTAGAAAACATGTATGAAAGATTAAAAAAAAAAAAATTATCCCAGCAACTATAATCCTGGTATTATGATGTTTAATGTGAAGGTCTTACCAAAAAAAAAAAAAAAAAGCCTTAGAGATTAAGAGATTAAATATAATATGGGTGTTTAAAAGATATCCTGTGCCATGTGAATCAGACCTTTATTGGTTAGAAATATTTATTTCTGCATTAAAGAGGTGCAGTAAGCTTCATGTCTCAACTAGTAACTTCTCTTGGCTACATGTTACAGGTAGTTTTAGTTGTTGTTGAAGACATCAGGATTATGGAAATTATAGGTTAGAAATTGCTTATCAGGAGAGAATCTACCCATGGAGTTCTTGACTAATTGATTTCATATCAAAATAAGCTAAAGGTTCAAATTCAGAATAGGCAGTGGAACCCCAAATTCAGGCAGTATGGAGCAGAGTAGGACTGGAACACAGTGGCTCTTCCAATTTGAAAAAACAGGAACCTTTATAACTACACAGAGGACTCTGTTTCTTGACCCCAGCTGCTTCTCAGGAAGATAGGACAAGCCTCTCCATTTTGGTCTCCAGGATATCAAGATTGAAGAGGCTTTTTGGTTTTAATTAGCCTTAGCCCCATGGAAAAATAAAGGAACTTGACTCAAGAAGCAGCGTAACTGCATCCTGGTGGTGGTGAGCTTCCACATTATCAGGTAATTTCCCCTGTGGCAGTCCTCTGCTGCTGGTGGCTAATTACATCCTGGGAAAACTGGCTGTACCAGGAGGGCTGCTGCAGGAATCCCTGTGCTGGGCTGGCAGCGAGCTCGTTAACATGATGCTGCACTTAAGCATCATGTTAATGAGTTAATAAGGCCTGGCAGACCTAAATGGCTTGGCCCAGAGCCACTGTGGGGATGTTTGAACCTGTGCCATGGTTCACCCACAAACCTGTATAATCCTCCTGCAGACAATGCACCATGTCTGCTGTCATTAAGTACTCGAAGGCCTTTGTAGCCAGTTCTTTCCAAGATGTGTAAGCTGTTTCTCTGTTTTGTCCCCACCCTTTCCTGCTATATTCACATATGTAAATTTACGTATTTGTGTTCCTATATATTAATGTTTAGCTTGGGAATGGAGTCTGCAAGTGAAGCAGCAGAATAACTCTTTGAAGATGCAAGCAGCACTTAACATTTTCTGGGTAAACCTGCTTAGCCATTTTACCTGTGAGACAAGGAGTAACCTCTTCAGCTGGATGCTGTGCTTCCTCTCAGACAGTTCTGCTTCGAAAGCGAAACCAAATGTAAACCTGGCCCTGAGGGGTTAAGTGCAGTGGTGTTCTGTGGCTCAGGGTGGGGGGAGCCCTGCAGTGCCTCTCTGCTGCAGGAACTGCAGGCGCAGCAATTCCTGCTCTCCTTGGAGCACCTCAGCGAGCTGGCTGGGCAGCAGAGACAATTTTAACACTGAGGATTCAGATAAAACCACCAAGTTTTTAAAAAAAAAAAAACACCTGAAAACAGACCAACATTGGGAAAGGCAAAGTAAATACAGTGGATGGAGCTGCTGGGCTGGGCAGTGTCCAGTTGCTTCAAGACCTTCTGTCTGTCTCACCTCAGAGGAGGTCTGTGGGTTCCCACATTGTGCCTCCCTTTGGTGCACTGTGGGCTCAGTGAGCACTGAAGCCTTGTCCTCCCTGTCCCCATGGCAAATCTGTGATGCTTCTCTGTTCTTGATTTCATCCTTACATGTATATTCTACAACTTAATGCTGTTCTTCCAGCATTTACTATTTTGTTTGCTGTTTGTGAAGTGCTTATGTTGATCTGATCAGTGTTTCCCACTGCAGTTTTTCCCCTCTGTTCTTGCTAAACTCTGTGTGAGGGGGTGTCTTCTGTGTTACACCTGTGTTCAGAGCTGAAGGGCTTATCCTGTATAGTCACAAAGCTACAACCAACAGCACGGGATAGATGCTCTGTGAGGCATAAAGAACTTCTGAGAAAGAAATGGGCCCACTGACACTTTTCTGTCTCAGAGGGCCTTTTAGACCCACTGTTGTCTTCAGCTCTCCAGCAGCCTTGACTTGGGAACTTGATCTGTGTAAATTGCAAAAGATGTATAAGTTGCTTCACATCTGTATTTTTGCAATGTGTGAAGGCAACTTCAAAGATGAACAAATATTCCAGGAGGGTCATCCTGACTATATATATTTTGCACGTGAGAGTAGATTAGATAATGACTGTTTGCTTCCTCAGCACTTTGAATCTATATATTCCCCGTAAGCAAATTGGAAGAGCTATTTTATATTCTCCCACAGAGAGCCCTCGGTGGAGCTCAGCTGCTGTCCTGTACCAAGTGTGTTTTTGTGTTGCTGCCAGATATATACAGTTCTGGAGGGAAAATGGTGGAATTCCTGATGCTTTCCCTGACTAGAGCTGAGATTTTTAACAGCTAAGGAAGTTTACCAACACTTTTGAGGTCGGTGTCTTTCATGCCTGTAAAGATCTTTGTAATTCAGACACCTGGCTTAGATTGTTTGGCTTTTCTAAACTGGTATCCAGTACCTGCCTGAAGTGCACAAGCTGTTTTGGTACAGTGTCACCACACTTCTCCATGACAGGGTGTTGAATTCAGTGTAGGTTAGGCCCATACTAGTACAATTTGCTTCTACAGAGACACTTTCTGCTCTAAATATGCAGTCTTGTTTAGAAACCTGCATTCACACAGTCTACAGGAGGTTCAAGAACATCCTGAAAACATGAAGCCTTACTGCTGCTTCTTTTGACTGCAGTTCTTCAGTCCATCAGGCTCTTGATTTTTAGGAGGTGTGTTTATGTTGTGGGGTTTGGTATGAAAAGCTGAAATCAGGCAGTGCACAGAGGAGAAGAATGCATTTTTAATAAGATGGTTTTCCTTTTTCTTCAAGGAAAAATGGAAAGTGTTTTCCTGCTTTCTATATATGTTTCTCTCTAAGTGATCAGAAAGTTTGCATCCACTTGCTATCAGTTACACATATATTTGTAATCAGCTTTGTCATGATACTGAATTGGCTGTGCGTGCACCAGGAGAAATGAGCCAAATTTGGAAAACTAGGGTGCTGTTCTGCCCTGTTGTAGTCAGATCAAAAGACACATTGTGATGAATAGTAAAGTCCAAATCAAGAAAAGATGTTATGATTCCTTCCAGTACCTGAAGGGAGCCTATAAGAAAGATGGAGAGAGACTTTTTACAAGGACCTGTAATGACAGGACCAGAGGGAATGGCTTCAAACTGAAGGAGAGTAGATTTAGGTTAGATATTAGGAAGAAATCCTTCCCCATAAGGGTGGTGAGGCCCTGGCACAGGTTGCCCAGAGCAGCTGTGGCTGCCCCATCCCTGGAAGTGTCCAAGGCCAGGTTGGATGGGGCTTGGAGCAACCTGGGCTAGTGGAAGGTGTCCCTGCCCATGGCAGGGGGTGGCACTGGATGGGCTTTAAGGTCCCTTCCAACCCAAACCATTCTGTTGTTATAATTCAGACAATATCCTCCAGGCTCTGCAAAATTCTGGAATAAGGCAGATCTTAGTGTAACTAACAGAGAAAGTGCATCTGAATTAAGGATATCTTCAGAATCAAATTACTGATTCGTTTTCCATTTGTTGGGCAGTCCCTCTTGCAGAAAATGGGCCAGGTTTTGGCACTTTACTCAGAGAGAAGCTTTATGATACCTGGGTCAGACACTTAAATTGTGTGCTTTTTCCCTTGATTTCCTAAGGTGGCACTTCCTGCCCCATTCCAATAATCTCAGTGGGCATTTCATACCCATTTCCTCCTTCTGTGCTGGCACAGTCTGTGTCACTTTTTGGGATGTTTGTTTTTACCAGCTAAGAGGAGCTGCCTGTATTGGAGGGTGGTGCAGCTCATGTCTGTGTTATGAGGGAGTTATCTAGCAACAGTATTTGTGTGCTGAACGCTTCATCACACCCATTCTGCTGTCCTTTATGCTGCTAAATTCGCTGATCATGTATGTAAATCCCATCTTCAGGCATGGTCTTTAAAATTACATTAAGAACTCAGCTTATCAACTTGCACAAAAATTTTTATCTGGAAAAAGTTTCTTTAATAATTCAAAGCAAAAGAAGGATTTTTTTTTTAAAATAAAGTGAAATCTCAGAGTATTATTAATTATAAAGCATATGTGCTAAAGCATAGCACACATGCCTATGGTGGAATTACAATGTGTAAATAGAAACAAATAAACACAAAAGATCAAAAACTAAAAAATAAGGATATATAAATTGAAAAAGAGAGCTGCCTGCCAGCCCTGGAGCAGACTTGCTTCATCCTCACAATCCCAAGCTGTGGAAAGGAACCAGGGAACCTGAGAAGCTTGAAACTAATGTTCTGTTGGATTCTGAGGCACTTATCTACATTTCAGCTCTTTTTTTGGTTCTGTGCCAGGAGTGGGCATTCACCAAGCACCCGATAGGGATCTGTGAGCAGGTTATCAGTTCCTTGGGCAGTGCTGCATCCCACAGCTCCTCTGCTTGGGCAGCCAGATGCAACCTCAGCGAGGGTGTAATCCCTCCTTGTGCTTGTGCTGACAGGTTTTACTGCGTGTGAGGCTGTCCTCATTTTATTCTGGTCTCTCTCCCTTCCAGGATGGCTCGCTCTCTGTATGAGTGGCTGTGGCAGCATGAGTTCTGGCTGCCCCCAGGAATCACCTGGGAGGACATGGAAGAGTCTGAAGACATTCATTACCCTCAGCCTCGTGATCTCCTGCTCAGCATCCCTTTTGCTTTGATCTTGGTTGTCGTTCGATGTGCCTTTGAAAGGTAAGTTACTTAGTACTGTTAGGGGTTTCTTAGGGGAAATGGTAGCAGTTTGGGTCCAAAAGCTGGCTTTATTGACTGAAGAGGCCCACAGAAATTCCAGGTCACAAAGTCTGCTGAGGTGTGTTTTTCAGCTCCTTCTTTTCAGCCCTGTGTACTGGCTAAAGAAATGAGTTGAGTATAGAGCACAAACCCTACCCTTAAGGTCTAATTACAAGCAATGTGACTTCCTACACTTAAAACAGGTCAGCCTAGATGAGGTTTATGCATGTGTTTATGAAGGCAGACAAAAAACATGTGTGTTTTGCACAGTACTTGCTGTTGCTGGGTCGAGTGCAGCAGAAATCATGTCTAGACTACATCATACAGTTAAGTCTCCTTTATCTTGGGCAGTGGGGATCTGGGGTATCACAGCTGACAGACAGGCAGATAGGATGTATCAGATTGGGCTGAGCCCTCTACCCTCAGCACCAGCCCTGCATAGCCACAGGGATGTCTGTGTGGAGTGCCCCTGCTCTCCACTGCCATGCAGAGACAAATTTTTTGCTGCTTCCTCTGGCTTGACCCTTTAGTGCTGGGCTGCCAGCATTTCTTATCCTTATCTCCTTCTGCTACCAGACCTGCTTTTGGGGCTGCTTTTTGCAAAATCCATGGTATCTCCAAGGGTTGGCACAAGAAGTTGCTCTGACCCGAGGATCTTTCTGGCCAGAGGTGTTTGAGTGCTTTACACACAACACTTCAGGGCAGAAAATTTGGAGGTTATGGCATAGGTATAGCAAGAAATCCTGCAGGGATCATTGAGTTTCATAAAGGTCCTGAGCTGGTGCCATTGTTTTGTGCAGCTTGGTCAGTAGTTAATGTGGTCTGTGACACAGCAAGATTTGCTGGAGGATAACTGAGATTTACTACAGTGTTAACCATTGTCAAGACTGCAGAGCAAGTCTGCTTTTGTGATTTTGAATACTCTTTAAAGTGGTTTTCAGTTTATTCAAAACCCACTATTGTTAGCTGCTCTCTGAAGAGGTAATTTTTTGAAATAGTTTAGTCAAAATCTACAGTGGTTTTAAGTTTAGAAAGAGGGGGGAAACAACAATTTAAAAAATATTTCTCTTATTCTTTTTTGAAAAGTGACTGCACAAGAAAGTGGAAATGGACCTTTCTGTGGGCTGGAAAGGTGTTTATTCTGCAGATTCTCTGTGACACAAGGGCAGCTTGGAATAGTTTATAGAAGTTGAAGTGATTCAGAGCTGTCCTGTGAGAATGTTTTTACGTAAAAATACTGGCTGTAATCTGGAGTGTTTTATTAAAACCAAATGTGTGAATAATTCTTTAAGTAATCATTTTAGGATGACACGAAATTGAAATCCAAATCTCTTCTTTGTAAACAACAGTATACATTACATTTAGTGTGCATTCCATAAATTCCATGGATTTTGTCCTGCACTCTCCTGGGGACTTAGGCATCTTGGTTACCTCTACTGATGTGGGAACCAAGGTGCTCTAGGTAACCACTGAAAGAAGAGTGACTCACATTTCTTCCTTGCTGATGTGTAAGATGTGGCTGGATCCCCTACCCCATGAGGCACAGTCAGGCAGTGACAGGGATGTGTCTGCACAGTGGGGCTGGAGATGGGGCCCATGTCCTGCAATAAGTGGCCAGTCCATGGCTCCCCAGTACAAGAAGGGGCCAGGAAGAAGGAGGAGCCAAACTCTTCCCCGTGGTGGCTCAGGACAGGACACGAAGCAACGGGCACGAACAGAAACACCTGATGATGCTCCACCTGAACACACAAAAACTGTTTTACTGTGGTTGAACACTGGAACAGGTTCCCTAGAGGGGAAATGGAGTCTCCATCTGTGGAGATACACCCAGATGGACACAGCCCTCCTCAGCCTGCTCGAGCAGCAGAGTTGGGCTGGGTGATCTCCAGAGGCCCCTTTCAGCCTCGATCCTGTGCTTCTGTGACTCTGTCCCTTTGTTTTCCTTCCTCCTGCCACACCACTCCCAGTCAATCCAGGTATCTTTTCCATCTGCTTTGAGGTGCCGATGGCCAGGTGTGAAGATTTTTTCCTTTCTCAGCCAAGTGCTGCCTCAGCTGGGAGTGTTTCCACAGGCCTGGTCCTACTCATTAATTCTAAAGCTGTTTTGATTCACAAATTTCATTAAATAAAAGCTTCATGTCACACCCTCAGAAAAAGATAATATCACAAGCCCATTTTACAGGTCCAGGGAACCTATAATCATAGCACTATTTTACCTATGCAAATTACAAGCCAGTGTTCTGAGCTGTATTCTTGTTTGTCCTAACTCTGCAGTCATTTATTTCGACATGACTTGTTCTCATTCTCAGTCGTTACTATTTCATGTCCTGTTCATCTTGGAGAAGAAAACTTTTTCTGGGAAGGCAAGGTGTGAATCCAGCCCTCAGATTACTCCGTTACCTTACCTGTACAGTGGCACTAGCCCTGTTTAAAATAATTTACGCCCACTTTGAGAATACAGAAAGAAAAGATGTATTATTTCTCATTTTCTCTGTAGATAACCTTGACTGTGTATGGTTGTACTTCTGCTCTGGGGTTCAAAATGAGTGGATATAACTAGTGGACAAGTTTGGATTTGGTGGCTGTAGCTTGGCCTCTGACAATTTATTCTGCCCTCAGCTACCCTTAGCTATTACTTGCAACAGTACATTGGGTACCAAGTGTTTCTAGATAGCTCCTAGGGGTGCCTGCTTTGGGATTCTGGAAATGTTGTAATGTGTTCATGTCACTGAACTGTCAGAACTCCAGGCAAATACTAAGAGGCAGGAGAAGTCCAGAGGATTTTCTGCAATCCCTCATCAGTCACTGTGCTGGGACCAATGGTTTCATCCTCTTTGTTTGGGTATTAAACCTGGGAAAGAACCTGTTTCCTCCAGCATGGATCTTCTTCCTCTTGGCATTGGCTGGCTTTTCCTCCCCATGGAACTGTCTGGTTGAAGGGGGGAAAACTGAGACAGCAGCATCCTGCCAAGAGCCAGCTTTGCTGTGGGTAAGGTGGGAAGGGGACCTGCAGGGGCCGGGTGTGGCCCAGGAGAGCTGAGGAGGTTGTGGGTGCAGCCCTGGGGGGAGGAGAAACAGCTCACAGGCCATGAAGCAACTCCTCTGTGATCCAGTTTGGGCTGAGGAAGGTGGGAGAAGGTGGATTCAGTGCTGGAGAGCACAGCTGCAGTGCTGGGCTGTGCCACAGGACTGAGGCAGGTGCTGGGGGAGGCAGGTGGTGATGTCCTGAGAAAAGAGAGGACCCAGAACTTGGGAACTTTCCCTATTCCATTGATGTTTCCAGACTCTGCCTGTGAGTAGGAGATATGTGCTGCACCAGTAACTTGGAGCTTGATTTTAAGCACCTGTATACCTTAGCAGAACTTTCCACTGGACATACACCTGCAAGGAGGGATGTCAGCTTCTCTTCTGGCTCTGTAATGTTGAATTTCTGTAAAAATCAAATTCTTGGAGTGCTATGATTCTGAATGGTTATGATTTCTGAATGTGGAAACTGAAGTGCTTTGAGGGATAGTAAAGCAGCTGAAAACAGAATTTACACATGATTTTGGATTTGTCTGATTTTGAACTTGACCAGGGACTTTTGGATGTTGGGCAACTGAAAGCCAGTGTCAGTGAATTTGGATCCACATTGTTCCCAAATTTCACTAGAAGGGGATTTTAGTCAGAAATATTAGGTCTCTTCTTAGGAAGGTGGTGATGGTATGTGGGCCATGTGTTATACATTTAAAGAAAGGGACACTGTTGATCTGCCAGGAACAGATACTTTGAACCAGAAAAAGAAAGCACACCATTTTCAAGTATTTTATTTAGAAATGTATCTCTCTGAAATTCCTTTTGCCCAGAGACTTTTGTTGTTGGTCAGTAATCAGGAGGGATCTGAAAACAGCTTCCTGGTGGGTCTTACAGGCAGGGCTTTGTGCAAAGATGAGGGGACACGTTGTAGGATTTAATGGAAAACTGACCTGTCTCAGTTTGGACAGTAGCACTGCAGTGACTCGGATCTTGTATCCAACAGAACAGTCAGTTTAACTGATTGAAGCATTCTCATGTAAGCAAGAGAAGGAATAGAGTACTCCAGGAGCACAGGGATAGTCCCCTGCCAAAGGAAAACAGGAGGCTGAAAGAAACCGTGCAGTTTAAAGAATAGAAGTTCTGTTTGCTGCTGTCAGTGGTTCTGCATTTTGTAATACTAGAAGGCATTTGCAGAGTGGTGCCCTTATAAATAAATTAAAAAAAAAAAAAACAACCCAAACCCTCCAAAGTTACATTATTTCTTGTATCTCATACTAACTCTGAAAGCCTTCTTTTGCAAGGTGGGGGAGTAGCAGTTTGTGGCCCTTCATGATAAATCCATTTAGTTTCAGCTTCAGCAGGTTTTGCACAAGACAGTTTGGTCTCTGATTACTGAACAAAAGAACTTGGTGAGAACTTTGCCACGTAAAGTGTGGAGTGAGAGCTGCTCCCTGATGGAGAAGTTGGCTGGTGATGAGAATCATCCCACTGGCTGCATCTGGCTCTGGAGAGGGGTGCAGTTTAGTCCTCAGGGTTTCTCCTCCTGTCTGATAAACTGCTATGATGAGACCATCCCTGCCACTGAGATAATGTATCTGTGATGTTGAAATCAGTACAAGCATCATCCTCTTTAGGGCTGTGCTTGGAACAAGACTTAACTGAAAACTGAGTCAGAGCATACAGCCAACATGTGCAGACGTCCCTTAGGAAGAATTTCAGGCCTTGGTTTCCCAATGATGTTCTTAAAAGTAGGATTGGTCCCATAATTCATGCTCCAACTCAAAACCTCAACAACAAAGTAATTGTAATTTTGGTTACACCCTGTCTTTATCAGCTGCAACTGGCTTGTTTCTGTAAGTGAGATTTTACACCATGACCATAAGAAACCAGCAGGAAATAGAGAGAAGTCAAGGATTAAACAAAATTAAGAAATTGGTCAGGATACTTTAAGTAGTTTTTCAGTAAAATAAACTTGTTGTCAGGCTGTCTTTACACCTGACAGAAAGGTTCTCTTTGCTTTAATGTGTCTGGAAATTTTCAGACCTTTCAGTTCCCAGCGTGGCCTGATAAGGAGCTGCAATAAGGAGTAAGCTGGAATATTTTTAAGAACAGAACTTGATTTCATCTTTCTCTTCAGAGGCACTTGTATCGAATGCCTGACCTCTGAAACAGAAAGATGAGGCCCAACTTCAAGGAACTGCTTAATACAGGAACCATGACACAGTGCAGGGCTTAAGGTAAATGTTTTCCCAGTTTCAGCATAGCTGTGGATATCGTTGAAATACTGTGTCATTGTTCTTAGCACAGGACCTGCTGGTCCAACATCACTGTTATTAAACCAATCACTTGATACTAAACAAATCATAAGATGCAGTTCAAACATTTCTTGAGAGCAGTCAGAGCTAAAACCCCAGAATTCCCAGCAATGGCAATTCCTCTGCCATCCAGCAGCAGTGCCAGGGTGCTGCTAAATTTGACTGAAACTACTCAGTGCTTACACATAGTTTTTGTGATAACCATCTATGTGTCTTGTTGCCAGCAAGCATGCTTAGCCCTGGCCCTTCTCTCATGCTGGAAACATATCATTTTCATTGGTCTTTAAATGTTCCTGTAGCCAGTGATGCCAAAGGAATTTCCCAGAGAGGATGACAAAGAATAGCTGATACACAGGTGAATGGCTGTTCTAAAGAAAGCTGGAAATGAGCTGTTACACAAGTTGAGCAAAATGTGGAACCATTTAACAGCATTCCTTAGGTAGGGGGTCTGTTTATAAAATTATTTTGAATGCCTGTTAATTAAACTGAGAAGTGAGTTCTTGAAAAGAAAACTTCTGAAAGACCCTTCAGAAGGATACTGGACCTGGAGCAGTCCCTAAGCACATGTGTATATGGAGTATGAGCTGTATGGCTAGCACAGATCACAGCCATAAGTACATCCCATACTCTTTTTAAGTGGAACACCTTTAAACACCTCCATAGTGAAGTGGTTTCCACAGCTTTCTTTATGCAAAGTAAAAAAAAATAAAAGAATAAAAAAAGAAATCGTGTTCAGTGTGCAAGTCATCAGGGATAACTGAGCAGAGGACTTGCCTGGGCAGCAGGAGGGACCAGGCAGAGCTGGTGTGGGCTCAGCACTCGCTGTCCCTGCACGGGGCTCATCAGGTTGAACCCCCCTCAGCACCAGTTTGCAGTCAATAACCCAGTAACCCTCCAGGGAGGCAGTTACACCTTGAGCAAAAAACCTGAACTCCAGAATACAGAGATAAGGCTTTCCAGAGGTTTTGCACGTTTAGCAACAGAGCTGAGAAGTGATCCTGGGCAGCCTGTGTGCTCTTCCTTCCGAGGAGACCAACTGCATGCCAGTGGCAGTGTGTAAAAGGGAGCAATTAATAAGAACAGCTAATTCTCCAGAAATTCAAGTAAAACGGAGTTCTTTTGGGTCTTTTTTTTTAAATGTTGTTTGCCTAGTTTTTTCTTTGTGCAATATCCATGCAGGACCTCCCTTCACACCTTTGATGACGCTGTTTCCTGCTGCTGAGGCAGACAAGAGTGTTGGTAGAGTTGAACTGTTGAGCACAGCAGTTCTGTGAGCAGCTTTGTTACCCCGGGTAACTTTTTTCTGTTTATGCAGATTTTTTTCTTTGCGTTGCTTCACCGTAGAAGACTGAAGATGCACAGCTAGTACAAACATCCATGCCATGTGAATAGCTTTCTAGTTGCCATGTCCTTATTTTGCAGCTGTGCTTGACTTACATTAGGGAACATGGAGGTGAGTTACTCCACTAAAGACCAAGTGGCCTCCTGCTTCAGCAGGACGTTTCCTCTGCGTTGACACTACACCTCTGATACCACATCCTGAGCCAAGCCCTTAGTTCAGGTGGTGCCATGTATGTTGCATGTTCTAGACCAAGCAGGGAGCAACATTTAGGCCTTATCATCACTCTGGTTCTCCTCATCAGCTGTGGGAGAGCCAGAGACCCGTGGCAGGGGATTCAGAACTTGACAAAGCAGGATACAGCATTTGCTTACCTTGTGTAATTTTGGATATTACAGTACAGAACTCAGAGCACTAGGATAAAAGTCCTGCTGTTTCTGCTGTAAGTTTGCCTTTTTACCTGCTTGACATGACACCCACATTTAGATCCACATGTGGGAGGCAGCCCTTATGTGCTGCCTCATGTTTGAACAGCGCTGCCATATCAGAAATCACTGTTCTATTTTTGGCTGAACCTTCATCTTTTCTCTTGCAGAGCCATAGCCCTGCCCCTCAGTACCAAACTGGGCGTGAGAGACAAGCAGAGACCAAAAGCTCAGCCCAACCCTGTGCTGGAAACGTTCTATAGTACACGCTGCAAGAACCCTGAAGAGGTGAGTCCCTTCTTCCTGTGCTTTCCTGTAGATTTGGTGTCTTTAGCCAAACAAAATCTCCCATTTGGAATCCTGGAGTTTGGTAATGCCATTCATATTTGGAAGCTCAATGAAGCAGCAGGAATGACTGTAGCACTGGCTGGCTGAGAGCAGCTGGGGTCCTTCTGCAGTGCCAGCAGTTCTCAGCTCTGTTTCTGAACACTTGGGAGGAAACTGTTCTCCCAAAGGAGATAATGCAACTCCAGTTCCCTCTCGTGCTTACCTTATACACAGCACAAACTGTAACACAGGGGGGTTCTGCCTGAATATCAGTGACCTTTCTTGCTCTGAGGGGTGACCAGGCATTGGAACAGGTTGCCCAGAAGAGGTGGTGCAGTTTCTATCCTTGGGAAAACTCAAAGCTGTCTGGACATGGTCCTGGGAACCTGGATCTATTTGAGCAGGGCCCATTGGACCAAGTGGCCTCCATGATCCCTTCCAACCCCAGCCATTCTGTGATGGCTTCTTTTCAGGTATTAGAAAACCCTGTAAAGAATTAGTCATATCAGCTGCCTTGAGCTGACTCCCACACTGGTAGTCCTTGCAGCCCAGCAGGTGTGTGTGGCTTGATGTCCTAGTCCTGGGCTGGGTCATTCTGTTGCTGTGCAGTCCGTGAGTTTGAGATTGGCCTTTTCAGGAAGCCAAAGTCTTGGTCATCATCACAGAGATTGTGAGGAGCATCAGAAGCCTACAAACACAACTAGTAGGGTAGTTTTCCCCTGAGGGCTAAGAGGAGTGCTCTTGAAGAAGTTGGCAAGATAATCCAGAGTTATAATACCTGCTGCTGAGGGTTAAAAACACTGGGATTGTGAATTTTCAGGCAATATTAGGATTTAATCTTGTCAGTGAAGTCCCCTGTGGTAGGGAAAGGCCTGGCTTTGCCAGCAGGTTTTCCCCACAGCTCTCCCTGCACCCACATTGCACTGAAGCTGTACTTTTATCCCAGAAAATCTGTGACACTGGAACATGTCCTCACCACGAGACTCTGACAGCACTGAGAGGTGGAGCAGGACTAGTGCTGCTCCCTGGCAGCTGCTCTCTGCTCACCAGATACACCCCTGCCAGCCTGCTGGCTTCCTCCCTCTCCCATGAGCTCTCAAACACTTGCTTAGAGGCAGATTTTTACTTGTGAGATTTTTCAGTTCTTGCCTGCCTTTCCCTGGGAGGAATTCCACATGATGGAGTAGCCTGAGAATATAAATTAGCATCTCCATTTGTCTCCACCACCAGAACACAAGTCACTAAGTAAGAGTCAAAAGCAGAACATCTGAAAATTTGCAGTGAACATATTTTTGTACAACATGCTCACGCTGTATAAGTCACTGTCACATTGATACCATTAATGTAAAGGCATTCCATGAAAAACTATTGCTTTACTTAAAAAATAAGGTTATCCATGATGACCCTTCCAAGCAGGAATATAAAACATGACAAACATTTTTCGTGTCACATGCCAAACTCTTAAGAGCCCTAGGACAAGAAGGAAGGTAATTGCAGGATTTCTGTGGGTAATTTATTGAGAAATTATCCCTAACAGGTTTACCACAACAGGAGAATATCCGGTAGGAAAATTGCATTGCTTCTGCTCATGGCATCTATGCATCAGAATGCTGAGAGGCATGGCAAGATTTGATGCAGAACTTTAAAATGTTATCTAAGCTGCAGTGAATCTTTCTTGGAGTGACAGATTTAAGGGACTTGGTCCTTGAAGACAAGGTGAGGAAGCCATTTCACAACAAACTCACGTGAGGAGACAAGACCAGTTTGAAAGTTGAAACTGGGGAAATTCACATTAAAAACTGAGAAGTTTCAACATTTAGCATTAATAACCAGTTGCTTAGAGGGGAACAGAAGGATTTTCTACTGTCTGAGGTTTTTACACTAGGAACAGACAGCTTTCAAAAAGATGCCTTAGCCTGCACAGATCTGGGCTTGCTGGGAGCCCCCAGCTGGGCTCTGTGGTGGATCAGATGAGATATTGCCCCATCTGACCTTTGAACCTGGATCTGAACCTGTTTTCCAGGGTGAGCTGATCCGTTTGTCCAAGCAATGTGACCTGCCAGTGAGGAAGGTGGAGAGGTGGTTCCGGCGCCGGAGGAACATGGACCGGCCCAGCCTGTCCAAGAAGTTCTGCGAGGCCTGGTGAGCAGGAGCACGAGCCACGAGCAGCAGGTTTTCACCAGAGCTGAGCTCTGACAGCTCAGGCAGTTCACTGCCTCCCATCCTGTCCTCCATCCCTGTGCAGAGATCCCAGCTCTCTGCTGCCCTCCATCCCTGAGCTGAGAACATCCCAGCTCTTCCCTGACCCACTTGGCTCTTCTGCAACTCTGCTACTTCTTTGTTCCTTAAACATTTCTTGCTTTTCCTCATTATTTTCAGTCCCAAGTCTGCTTTTACTGCTGTCTCACCTTCATTCCTTATCAGGCCCCTGTTTCTGACTTTGTCAGGCTGGCATTTTGCTCTGAAACACAGTCATACCTGAAAAGTTCTCTTGTGTTGTCATCTGCTGCTGTTTCAGTACCTACAAAAAATTCAACCTTTCTTTTGCCTTTTCCATGACTTCCCTTTACCTCTCTGTGAGCTGATTCCTTCTGCTGCATCTTTTCTGCAACTATTTTGCACACTGTTGCTTTCAAAACCCACTGGCAGTGGGTTGGATTGGATTCTGCTGTCGCTTGACTTCAGCATCCTGAAAGTCACAAACCAACACCCTTCCCCAGGGGCAGAAAAAGGGGCCTGGGTGAAAGCTTGTGTTTTGCAAAGAGCAAAAGTTGCCTTGAAAACAGCTGTGTGGAAACCCACAGCTTGTTGTGTGGAGGCACAACAAATAAATCTCCCATCAGCCAGATCTGTGAATGTCAGTCCTGGCTCAGCTTTCCACAGAAAAGGGGAATTCTTCTCAGCTTGGTTGGAATACCTGACTTATGAGTGGCTGCTCTGCTATTTGTGTCAGGAAGTGGATTCTCCCAGGAAAGCCATGAAGATGAAATAAGTCAGCAAATACCTGGAGTGCTATTCATCTATCTAAAAGGGTGTATCCACAGGGATACAACTTCAAGCTCATCACCTCATACTCCGTTTAGCACTCCACCTCTAATTCAAAACCCCTGCCTAAAAAACCTAATTGAAATAAAGGAAAAGGATGTCTATTATTTATTTATAATATTCCAGGTAGTTCCAGTTAGAAATATTTACAGAAACTGCAGATAAGGAGTAGTAAAGCAAGGATGCTTATTCTGCCTCCATCCAGATGAAATCTCAGCTCTCTCTGCACTGGATAACTTGTAGTAAATAATAACAGTAAATAGTAAACAGTAAATCCTTTTCTGCCTCAGCTCACTGAGGCTGGTGTCCTCCCACCTGCCCTCTGTCACCATGTGCAGTCTGTAGACAGAATATGTCTCTGATGTGACACAGGAGATTATTTTTGCAGAGATTATTTTTGTATTGGAGCTTCTGGGGGGTTTCATTGGCAAGTGGAGTCACTCTCTCAAAATGCAATTACGTCTGAATTGTTGTGGAGATTTTTTGGAAATTACAGGACTGGTTTAGACAGTTTTATTCCTTTGAATATTTCCTGTGTTTAGTTTATTAATAACTTGTTTATTCTGTTGGGGTGAAATTCCTGTCATTCCTTACTACATGTGTGTACATTCAGAGTGACCTGCCTCTGTCCACTGCACTTGGCAAACAGTTCACATGTGCTTCTGTGTGGGTTTAATGGTGGTAAATCTTTACCAGCTCCTGACCGAGGCCAAACAGGACAGTAATTAGTTGCTTTACATGATAATGCATTTAGCATGCCTGATCTCCAAAGGCCTAGGAGAGAGGTTGGCACTGTTTGACATTTTACAAATGCATCTGCCAGCGCTGGGAAGCTTTGGGATTATTCTCTCAGTGATTTCAGTCAGCGAGATTCTTGTTTCTTCTGACATCTCTAAAGTAAGGAAAGTAGTTGTGAGGTCTGTGGAATGTGCTGGTGACATGCAAAGAGCTGCTCCTGTTCTGGGCAAACCCTGACTACATTAATGTGTGTCTTTGTCTTAACAGTGTCATTCTCTGAAAGAGTGTGAGGATGCACAGCCTTGCAGCTCGGGGGTTAATGGATGGGATTCTAACACACTTTGTTTTGTTTGTTTGTAGCTGGAGGTTTACATTTTACATCATTTCTTTCTTCACCGGACTTGCTGTCCTGTATGATGTGAGTACACAAGCACCCACCTGCTGTTCTACCCAACCAGTGCCTGCAAGAATGGCAGAGTTTGTTGTCAAACATGTCTTTTCAGACCTTCTTCTAGAGGTTTTCCACCCAGGTCAGTGTCTATCCCCTGCATAGCACACTTAGGAGACCACAAGTATGCTGGACTGTGCTTATTATAGGAACTCCAGCTCAGAACCAAGATGTTTCCTCTTCTTCTGGCAAAACAGAAGAAAATTGGGATTGTGTAAAAGTACATTTCTGTGGGGTGGGAGGTGGAACACATCATGGAAGCTGCAGATATCTATTGTATCCAATACCTGTTGAAGGTAAAAAACTCAGGCTTCCTTGGGACCATGGACTGCAATTTAGTAATTTTATTTGTTAATTTTCTTTTCCTTACCCAGGGTGTGATTGGTTCAAGTTCATGGCTCTGCCTTTTCTCTGATTTAATAAATAATGAGTTCTCTTGATGCAAATAGAACTGCCTCACTAGGCAGAAGAGGTAACAGAAGCCACAGGTGTGCTCTAATCCCTGAGTTGTAGGCACTGAGCTGGGACTGGGGGCACTGGGCATCCTCTGCCCATATTTTAAAGGTTCCCCTGACTCTTTTGCTGAATCTGGTTCCCTAAGTGAGCTTTCCAGAGTCTGCTGGTACTGTCTGAGGGGTTAAGTGATGGAAAATGTGAGGTCCCAAGACAGCAGGCACAGACTGTCCTTGTAACCTCATTATTGTAACAAGACTTTTGAACTTACACAGACTATCAAGTCAGGATTTAAGGTACTCTAGGCTATAGGATGAACTAGCAGAGGAGTGAGGGTATCTGAATTCCAGAAGGCTGTTCTTTGAGGCCAGGTATTAAAGTGTGGTGGCCTGCTTGGCATTGTACAAGAGCCCTGTGGCAACAAGGGGCAAAATCACGTTCTTCTGCATGTCATCTGACCTTTTCTGTGGATGAGATGTAATTTTCACTTTTTGTGAAACTCTTGTCTTTATTCAATACACATCTTCCAATTTTCACAGAAAAAAAGGAGAAATCTATCCTACAGACAGCACCTCTAGATCCTGTAGCAAATAGGATGATGTTCTGTTACCTAAATTGTGCCAAAATGACTGCATTAAAAAGAAGGACAAACAACTAACATGACAGGGCATATATGCATGTGAGATTTCATGACTTTCACGTGTTTACTTTGAAACCTGGGCAGCGTTTTAACATGCATTTGTTTTTGTGAAACATCCTTCTTTATTTGGAAAAAAGCAAATGTTTGAATTCTATATTAGTAGCTTTAGACTGACATCAAAAACCTCTGCCCACGAGTCAGTGAAAGGAAAGTTCTCTTCATAGGCCACCAGAAAACAGCTGTAGAGGAATGATGAAACTCAGAGATCTGGGGTTCTTTTCTAGCTTAGGAAACACAGTATGCCATAGTTGTTTCATGGTTTTTACTTTGTCCTCTCTGTATCACATATCTCTCCTGGTTCTGTACATGTAAGAGTCTTTTAAAATAATCAAAACATCACCACCACAACCTCAGACTTGTAGAAGACTGCAACAAGCTGGCAGAAGTCTTCCCTGAGCTGTTTGATTTGAAACTGGGCTAAACAACACGTGAGGTTTCAGCACAATAGCCACAATTTGGAAATGTTACAAGCAGCTGCAAGTCCTCATAGTGAAAATCTCTTGGCAACTGAATTCCAGACAGTGGGACCAGCTCTGCCTGTAATAAAACACAACAAAGTCTATAGCAGTAACAAACTAAAGGACTTAGACAGTTGATAAGAAAAGGATTTCTCTGATATTCTCACATTCACGTTGCATTTTCTTTGCAGAAACCTTGGCTTTGGGACCATAGGGAGTGCTGGACAGGATATCCACAACAGGTGAGTCACACAAGGGAAAATTGCTGCTATAAATCTTGTGTTGTGTTTCAGTATCTTTTGAAAATCAGATTATATTAGTGACAAAAAGAGGACACTGAATCAAATTCAAACTTACGAGCCCTAAGAATTCAAACCCTCATCTAGGGGAGAATATCTTTGTACCTGGTGTCATCTAAACACGAGAGAGGATGAGTCAGCAGAGCAGGAGGAGGCTGCAGAAATAAAGGCAGAGTTCTGACCAGATGAGCCAAGAAGCAGTAAATTGGGAATGCTGCAGTGTTATTTAGTTTGCAGAAGAGACTGAGGCCTGAGGAGAACATGTTGTCTGAGGAGAGAAGTAAAGACTTCAGCACGTGGTGTGCTCCAACTGTGCTGAGGAGTCATGTCCACAGTGCTCCCAGGGGAGTTTGTTTCCCAGTGGAAATACAGGAGCAATACAGCATCATTCCCACTGAGGGCAGAAGATGCTCTCTTACAGTTTGACAATGTATATATTGATTTTTTTTGACAACAGCACTGCAAGAAGCTGTCTGGCGAGTTGGGAAGTGTTACATCTCTTACGAGCCCAGACCAAAACACCCTCTGGGTGTTCTGCAAAGTGTCAGCTAGGCTGAAAGTAGTTTTTAAAGGTCTGTGCTGGCTGCTCAGGAATCTGAACAGTGCTGAAAAAATCCTAAAAGTGTTCAGGATCTACCTGGTGGTTCCCCAAATATTCAATATGGTGTGGTGAAGTGAAACTTCTCCTGCTATTTGATTTCACATTGGCACAGATGACATTTAGTAAATGACCACGTGGTTCAGTTGAAGTATTTCCCCCTGTAGCTGCAAGAACCAGCTTTATTAGTTTGGTTGTCTGAATCTTTTGCCTCAAAAGGAGTTTTCACTTCCAGTCCTTGCACTACTGTATCTGATGGATACTTCCCTGTCTCTCCCTCTCTCACAGCCTCTCCAGCCCTCCCTGTTCTGGTACTACATGCTGGAGCTCTCCTTCTACTGGTCACTGGTCTTCACCCTGCCCTTTGACGTGAAGAGGAAGGTGAGGGGCAGTCTCAGGGGAGAAGCAAGAACAAACAGGAACACAACCTGAATGCTCAGAACAGAGATCTCCAACAGCATCTATACACTATGTGTATAGTGCTAGTCTGAGGTTTTGTGTGACTCTGTCCTTGCTCATTGACAGGAATTTCCATTCCCAGTCACTGTTTTCCTGCTCCTCTGGGAAGTGGAGAACACAAACCCTGATATAGAAAGTTGTAAACTACTGCAGTTCTCAATCCAAACTTAAAATCTAAATGTAAAAATTTGGCTTCTGTGACTCTTCTAAGCTGCACTGATCACAGAGACAGAAAAAGAGGTGTTTCTCTCCCAGTTAAGCTGCCTGTGTTCCAGGTGCCAGTGCCCCAACAGACTGCAGGGCACAGCATCAGACCATTGCTGGTGGAGGGAGAGAATGTTCTTTGTTGCAAGATCCTCAGTTTACACCATAAACCCTTCACTCCTGGGTCTCTTGGTTGCTTACATTTCTAGGCTGTGTTTGGTAAAAGAATTACATGAGTAACACCCGTAGTGGGAGGTTTCTTAGTCACGGGGTAGAGAGGTATCATTGCTCCCTGTGGGAGGCATGCTTGGACCAGGGCAGGAGGTGCACTATGAAATTTATTCTCTGCTGTTCCCTTTCTCACCAGGATTTCAAGGAGCAGATAGTCCATCATGCTGCAACCATCTTCCTGATCAGCTTCTCATACTGTGGCAATTACATCCGCATCGGGACGCTGGTGCTGGTGATTCACGATGCCTCTGATTGCTTCCTAGAGGTGAGCTCCACAACCTCCCTGCCAGGCAAAAAGCCCAGTTAGCAGTGGTGCTCTCCAGCCTGAGGGTGTCCTTTCATCTGGCACAACGTGGGCCAAGCACTGGGGTGTTCCACAGATCCCTCGTGCTGATCTGCTGGCCCAGCCGAGGTGCCCTGCAGAGAGCTGGGCAGGGCCGTGGTTACCTGCAGGCAGGTTGTGCTGTGCCTGTGTCATTAGCCTCCTGGAGCATGTGCAGATGCTGTTTTATCGTTCTTTCTCCTTCCAGCCAACCAAGATATTCAATTACATGAAGTGGAAAAAAACTTGTGACAGCCTCTTCATGATCTTCTCCGCTGTTTTCCTGATCAGCCGCCTGGTCGTTTACCCTTACACGTGAGTGCTGCAGTCAGGGGACATGGAAAAGCTGCTTTCTGAAAGACAGGAGAATGAGCTGGGTGCTGCAGCCTTTGCTTCTCCATGCCTTTTGCACAGGCTGAAGTGCCACGTGGCTGTTGCACCTGCCTTGGGGTAAACAAGGGTGCTCGGCCTTGGAGTTTATAGAGTAGTCTTGAAGCCCTGAAGGGTCCTGCAGAGGAGGAGTCCTGGGCCTTTGGCTCTACCCTGCATATTTTGGGTGGGGAACTGAGAGTTGGTTCACATGTGTTATAGATAAAGATGGAAGTGGCTGATCCGAAACTTCCTCTGTGATCAGAACTTTCTGGGGCTCAATTATGGCCCTGCTAACAACATGTTTTCCCTCCACTGCAATTCCCTCCCTTTTGCAGAGTGCTGTATAACACCTACTATTACTCCATGGAGATATTCCAACCCTTCTTTGGATACTACTTCGTGAACACTCTCCTGATAATTCTGCAGCTGCTCCATGTCTTCTGGTCCTGCCTAATTATTCACATGGTCTACAAGTTCATCCTCCAGGGCACGGTATGCATCAGTCTGTAATACCCTTTACATCACATGGGGAGAGAGGGTCCACCTTGGGAGCACAGGGGTCCATCTGGGATGGATTCCTTCTTACCCCAGTGAAATTATCCGTGTACATTCCGAACAGTGAAGTGAAAGGAAACTCAGTATTATTAGGGAGAGTTGACCCCAAAAATTTTTATGAGTTACTACAACGTTGGGTCCACTTCTGATGCTTGTATTCAATGAAAATGTGGATTGGACTCCCAGTGAACAAAGCCAGTGACATCTGAGTAAAGATCCCAACACTTGGTGCAGTGTGATTTGCATTTGTAACAAAACTAAGAAGTGAAGGCAAGGGAAGTTGTCATGACTGGTGAGGCCAGTGGAAAAGTTCTTCTCTGATTGTACAGGATTTTTGATTACATTGTTCCTGAGACCACAGAATCACAGAGTGGCTGGGGTTGGAAGGTACCTCTGGAAGCCTTGTCTGTATTTTCTGACTCAAGCAAGGTCACCTAGAACAGGTTGCCCAGGACAGTGTCCAGATGGCTTTTCAGTACCTGCAAGGATGGAGTCTCCACCACCTCTCTGCTCACCCTGTGCCAGTGCTCCAACACCCTCTCGGTAAAAAAGTGTTTCCTGATGTTCAGGGGGAGCCTCCTTTCAGTTTGTGCTCATTGCCTCTTGTCCTGTCTCTGGGCACTACTGGGAAGAGCCTGGCTCCATCTTCACCCCTCCCCTTCAGGTGCTGATCTACATTGACAAAATCCTTCCTTTCTCCAGGCTGAGCAGTCCCAGGTCTCCCAGCCTTTCCTCAGGGGAGGTGCCCCAGTCTGTCCATCATCTCTGCAGTCCCTCCCTGGACTCTCTCCGGTGTGTCCGTGTCTCTCGCAGTGGGGAGCCCACACCAGGACACAGCACACGGGCTGTGGCCTCCCCAGTGCTGAGGGGAGGATCCCATCCCTGACCTGACAGACCAGGAAGGGCAGGGGCACAGCAATGGCTTGGGTTCAACTCAGCATATGCTGGAACCTCCAGGTGTTTCTTAGGGAAGCTGATCAGCACCAGTCGTGTTCTGGTGTCTGAGGTTGTTCCTCCCCAGGGGCAGGACTTCACTCTTGCCCTTGCTGAACTTCACAAGGCTCCTGTCAGCCCATTTCTCTAGCCTTCTGGATCCCTTGGAATGCAGCACCATTCCCTGGAGGATCAGCTGCTCCTCCCAGTTCTGTGTCTCCAGCAAACTTGTTGAGAGTATGCTTTGCCCCATCATGCAGATCATTAAAACACATCTTATATGGATTGTGTTACAGTGCTGGAGATGTCTCTAGAGTAGGTATTTCTGTCTAATCCAGCTGCCTGGGCTCTTCTTGCAGCAGCAGAGGGAAACAGGCATGCCCAAAGCATGGTCCATTCCATCCTGCACCTGGCAGTGCTGTTCACTGGGCACAGAGCGACCAGACACGAGTATCTGAGCTGCAGCTGTATAAACTGAAGTGAAATGCATCCCACATCCCACTCTTTCTGGCCTGTAGTATTTGCTGTGAGACCAAACTGCTGCTCAGCATGAAATTCTTCCTGAAATCAAAGCCATGACCTAATGGCATTAGATTGGCCATGTGCCAAGGACGCAGTCCAGGGGTAACTGGTCAGCACCTCGTGGGAACTGACCTCAGAGCCCAGGATGACTTGTTTTCTTAGTACCCAGCTGAGGAATTCTGCCTTATGGGAACTGAGAACAAGCATTAAAGGCTCATCTTCGTGCATATTGTCCCCATTTTCTTTATCTGCTTTCCCTTTTTCTGCTACCTCAAGTAGCACAGAGCAAATTACTTGCAAATCAGGAAACTTCACAGGGCAGAAAATGAAGGTGCAACTGAAGATGGCCTTTTATTGTTTTCCTGATTCTAGTGGGGGCTGAATTACCATTGCAGTTATTGTTGTGTAAAATGATGAGGCAATAAATAGTCTTATTAGAAAGGAATGAACCATCAGGGAGGAAAATATTGAAGCATATCCAGGATTTTTTCTGATTTATCTGAAAACCAATCTGCCGGATTTGATGTAAAAATACATTTGAGAACTTTCCGTATTAAGCAGTGAACTGCAAAAATAAATCCTCCTGAACAGATCTGTCTCAGTGATAATATTTAGTAGCCTAAAGCAGTATCAGCAAGAATACAGGACATTCTCCCCTTTTTTAGAGGCATGAAACTCTTGATCCAGTCAGAAGTTCACATTCTTCTCATGGGCCTTTCTGGTCTCCAGTTTTCCTCTCTGGCTACAGGATTACTATCACCACCTTCTCACATGATGTTCCCTAATCCCTGGCAATTAGAACTCAGCTTAGATCCTGAAGTACAAGTTTCACTCCCTCACAGAGGGAGCAGCTGTACAGTTCCTTTGGGAATCTTGCCAGGTTTAAGGTCTCAGCCACATTCTCTGGCCATGAATGAATAAACTTAGAAATATTGACTATTATTTGTCCTTATGCTGCAGATCCAGACTCCTGCATATTTCCTGAATTGTCAGTTCCTGAGGGTCCTGAGGCACAGGTTGTTCACAGCAGATAGCATCTCCTTGGAGGCAGTTTGAATTCACTGCAAGTTTAGATTCTTACAAATCCTGTCTGCATCTGGGTGTAGTGATCTCTGGAAAGAGCATCAGACCAAATAGACTTCTCAATGTTATCTGAGAGATCCCAAAAAGAACAGACAGAATAAATGGAGACTAAATGTCTGTGCAGCACCAGACATGCCCTGGAGCAGTTTCCAAAGCTCAGGTCACAGAAGGAGTTTGCAGCTTTCCCTCTTTCCAACAAGGAGTGTGACACCATCAATTTGTCCCCAGTTTTGGCATCTTGTATGGCAGAGTAGAAACAGCCTGAGAAGGCAGCAAGTGCTGGGCTGCCTTTTCTAAGCTGTCATTTTATCACATGGTTTCTTTTTTGTCTTCCTTATCAGGCAATTAATTAAATACTTACAAAAGTGGATTACAGGTCTCTCAGTCAATAGCAAGAGGAAAAACCTGACCATAAAATTGGTTGTAGTCAGAGTGGAGTGGCTCTTTGTTGAGCCTTTGGTTTGTCTGAAAGCACATGCTTCCAGCCTGTCCCAAGCAGTGTTCTCAGCCTGCAGCCAAGGCCAAGTGTGGGCAGAAGGTAGCTCCTTGTCCCTTTTGGAAAATGTAAAAGAGCTTGGTTAAACTGCCTCCCCCATCCTTTCCCCACATGCAGATGACCAGAGCAGCAATGTGGATCTCGTCAGGCTTACACTGTTGTCCTCAGTCCTGGGCATCTGTGGTTTGGTGCTGCTTTTCAGCCTGTAATTCCTGAAGTTTATCAGGAGCACAGACAGGATTCCACTGAGACTGAAATCAAAGATGGGGAGAATCTGTTCCTGAGGGTGCTGTGAGAGCTGAGGGCAGAGCAGGACTGTGCTGGGGGCAAGCAGCTGAGGCAGAGGTTCATCCTGTGGCTCAGCCAGCACTGCTGCTTGGGCTGTGTTTGTCCTGCTTCTCACTTAACCTGTTTTTGTAGATGGAAAAGGACATGAGGAGTGACACAGAAGAAAGTGACAAGGATGAAGAAAGAGATAAAATCAGGGAAAAGGAGAAGAACGGGACCACGTATTTCAGCAACGTGACGAGCAACGGCCACATCCAGAGGAACGGGGCTGAGCCCCTGAGCAGCAGAGCCCACCTTGCCAACGGCCACGTCAAGGAGAGATAGCTGCTGTCCACACAGGTCTGGCCTTCAGTCAACACAGGCCACCATCTGTAGAAACAGTTTTGCTCACTGTGTAGACAAAATGGAGTGCAATTGCAGTATCCTAGAGCTGAATTTCTGCTTCCCCTGAACAGAAGTGTTTGTAGTCAGTGATACTTGAAGGAAGTTTTTGGTCTTCCTTCTGTAAAAGCTTACTGTAGGTTGTAGCCTTGGAACAGATAGAAAGGGATCAAAGTGGTTTGACTTGTGTTAGACTTGTACCATAGTTGTCAAATGTTTTAATCTTGAAAAATACTTTAAAAATAAAAAGGTGGATAAACTCTGGCAATGCCAAGTTTTACCCACCTAATGTTGTTTGATAGGAATCTCTTTAGCCTGGATCAGCCTCTGGAGGCCCTGGCCCATCGCCAGTAATGATTATGCCTGACAAGTGTGAGACTCCATATCTTAACACTGAGACACTTCTTTTGAAAAGACAGGTGCCCTGTGACACTTAGAGAATCAAAACTGAGCATAATGAAATGAAAGCTTTGGAAAGACCTAGGAGAAAACATGTTCTTCTCAAAGGAAGTGCTCCATGTGCCAGTGGCCAGTTTTGTAAGGATATGGATCTCAGTCCCTGTTTGGGGTCAGCATTATTGCCTCAGAGGTGGGAACTCCAGAGCCCAGGCTGGAGGAGTACCCACCCAAATCATAGTTGGAAGAGCTGGAAAATCCAGGCAGCTGTTTCACAACTGTCAGGTAATCCTTGAAACTTTTTTCAGAAGGAAACAGTCAGGAGAAGGGAGGTGACAAGGAACAGTATAATCTAGAAGACAACACTGATGAAAATGCTCACGTTTTCACCCAGTGTGACTGGCACAGTGGGAAATGTTTACAGAGTCAGCTTGTGGCAAGAAGGGAATACATTTCCCCTGTCCTCAGAGCAAAAAGGATCCAGAGAAAATCTGCTGAACCTTATGGAATAATGCTTTAACATAGCCTTCTAACTCCAGGGCCATTGCCTAGGTGTGTCAAGAACAGCAAGTGTAAAGCAGTGATCCATGAAGTCATGATGCAGTGCTGATTCAGTTTGTTTAGATGCCATATCTTGTATCCTGTGTAGTCTTAGATTTTGGATTCTGCAGTCCCTTAAAATATTTAAATTAGTGTTACATGAGTTTCTGTTTTATGGGTCAATTAATATATGAAACCAAAGTATTAACAGATTCACTGTAATGAGTGCAGGGACTTAGGCTGCCAGGGCCAGGCAGACACTTCCCTCTGTGTGCCCAATGTTCGCTGGGGGGGGATAGGACATAGACCAAGGAGATGCCTTATTTGAGGAGGTGGTGCACATGTTTAAATTAAAAGGCAAGTGACAGCATGGAAAGACAAGAGGGTTTTCATCAATCCACTCAGGCCACCTGAGATGTGACTGAGAAAGATTTGATCTGAGCTTGTGTGTGTTCATCTTCGGTTTCAGTCAAAACTCGTTTGGATGATTGGATTTCTAAACTGGAATTGGATAATTTCAGAAGGGGAAAAGTGGTTCCAGTAGGGGTAATTCCAGGGCAGTAACATGGTGTGAGAGTAGAGCATCTGCTCCTGCATTGTTGTTTAAATCCATATTTGCTGAAGATAGGTTGTCTCTGAAACCTTGAGCTAACTGGAAGTTGGAAGCACAGGCTCTGTATGCTGTGAACTGAGTGTAGGACCTTGCCCCTCTGCAGGTGGTGTGCTCAGGAGGGATGGTTATATATCATTTTGTACTACTGAATGTAAACATTCTTTATAAATAACTTTTAAAAGGTTTGATCGTCTGTGCTCTTTTCTACTTCTTTACCTACCAGGAGGTCACCTGGCTGGCTGCACCTCTACAGGTTGACACGTGATGAGGGAGACACGTGTGGGTGCCATTGCCAAGGGGAGGATGTTGCACACCCAGGACACACAGGCACACTGAGCTGTGCCAGCAGAGAACTGCAGCTGCCTGGTTTGTCTCCTGTGTGGTAATGCTGCGTTTGGCCCTGGAAGAAGGGACAGTTTGGGGCACCCCTAGACTAGACCTGGGGGCAGGCCAGGTTCCTTGGTACTGCCAGTCAGTGGCAAGTCAAAGATGGCAACATTGGGGAGGTGCTTTGGCCTTGGAAAGATAGGAGGAGAGTAGTTTATTCTTCTTGTTTGTGAGGTTTTAGAAGGCTAGGGAAAATCCCTGTTGTAAAATCATACCACCTCTCCTCTGAGGAGCAGAGTGCTTCCCAGAGTCTGCACAATGCACCGTGGAGCCACCACTTATGTTGATGCCTGTTGGATTTGATCTGATTTGCTATGCCCCTGGAGATTGAGATAAGATCATTAGGAGGCAAATCTGGTTCTTGTGAAAGGATACAACAAGGATACAGGAGACTGTTGGAAATGTGTAAGAACTACTGAGTGCTGTCTTCAGCTGAGGAACTGAGCGTGACAGTGATGAGTCACTGGGGTACATGAGCTGCTGAATTTGTTCTCTTGCCATCAACTTGCTCAGGGTGAAAGAAGCTCTGTGTGCATTCAGCTTCCTGCTCACACTGCTCCACCTTCTCTCTTTACATCAGCTCCAGGGCTGAGAAGCTTCTGAGTGGCGCGATAACGTTTATGAATTTAGTGTATCCATTTCCTCACTGGGGGCATCACAGACCCCCACATAGAGCAGCTGTTACAGAAAACCTGCAGAGAAGTCTGTCACTTGTCTGCTGAGAAGCCCAGCAGAGCAGACCACAGAATAACAGCATCATTTAGGTTGAAGAAGGCCTCTGAGGCCTCTGAGATCGAGTCTAGTCTTTGACCAATCCCCTCCTTGTCAACCAGACCAGAGCACTGAGTACCATGTTCAGTTGTTTCTTGAACACCTCTAGGGATGGAGACTCCACCACCTCCCTGGGCAGCCTATTCCAATGTTTAACAATGCTTTCCATGAAAAAATTCTTCCTGATGTCCAACCTGAACCTCCCCTGGCACAGCTTGAGGCCGTTTCCTTTGCTCCTGTTACTTAGGAGAAGAGACTGACCCCCACCTTGCTACAACCTCCTGTCAGGGAGTTGTAGAGAGCAATAAGGTCACTCCTGAGCCTCCTTTGCTCCAGGCTAAACAACCCTGCTCTCTCACCTGCTCCTCATAGGCCTTACTCTCTGATGGAGACCTCCCTTCCCAGACAGAGCACTGGGTGCCACATCAGGACCTGACTCTATTTCCCCTCTACCTTTATCCCCCATGTGCAGAGGAGATGTCCATCACCCAGTGTGTGCACCACATGATGTTAGTGCCACTGTGGGAGATGAGGCATCCAGCTCCAGCTGAGCCACAAGAAAAATAGCATTTACTCATGCTTCCAGGCTACTGTGTGGCGAGTGAGTCAAGGTCTGGCACAGTGTGGCCCCCAGGCTGGCACCTGTGCAAGCCTAAAATTGTGGCTGACGTGAATCTGCTGACTCCAGTAGGTGTGGACAGCTGGTGGACGTTTTGGATCTTTTCTTAAGAATAATTTGGTGCAGTTGTTTCCCTCCCCCTGCACACACACAGTAAATTTCAGAGATCTGCATCCACCACATTTTTTCACTCAGACATGTGTGCCCAAGGGAACCTTTCCTTGGATGGCTGCACTTGGAACAACGTTGGTTTTCTTATTCTCACAGGTACAGCAGGTGCCATGCCTGCAGGTAAGGGCAAGGCCTTGTTCAAAAAGCTGAAGTCATGTCTAAACAAGGAAAAGGACCTGTAACTTGCATGTGAGCATGTGATAAAGCAGGCCAAGAGACATCCTGAGAAACAACTTGAAAGGCAATACCAGTCCCTTAAATGTTGGCTGGAGACTGCTGAAGTCAGAGATGGTGGGGGCAGAGAGCAGGAACACTGAGATAGGTCAGGCTAGAGCCAGGAAATGCTGCCCTTTGTGGCTTCCCAGCTGAGGAGCTCAGAGAGGGTCCAATACCTGACATCTTCCTGAGGCCACATTTCTAGAAGAGCCACCTCAAGCTGATGGGTGAGAAGATGTTACCTAGCACACAGCCTGAGTAACAGCAAACCTTCAACCATCTGGCAGGAGTTAATTCGTGCTAAGAGGAGTTCAACTACGAACCGTGGAATGCCATTTTTTTGTTTCAAATCATCTTGTTATCAGAAAAATTTAAGACAGTTCCAAGTGGGAATGTGAGGAGCTACAGCCCTCTGTAGTCTGACTGGTCATAGTGGTAGAGAGAATAATACATGATGGAATTGTTGGAAACAGATACAAACATCATCAGAAAGAGTTCCCACGGGTGGTCTGCAGAGAAGGGATTTCTCACTCTGCTGGATTTACCCCAGAGCTGGTGAGCACATGCAGCAGAGGGAACCTGCCCCCTCTTCAGCTCTGCAAAGGCTTTCAGAAGGGTCCCTCAGCAGCCTGAGGAACCCACCTGAGGTGACCATGAGAGACCAACACAGATTGTTTGCAGTTGTGTGTTGTTGAAGGTGCCCCAAACAGGGGGAGGGAAAGGCAGATGGCAAAGTCAGGCAATAGTGAAGGTTTCTGGTGATGGTGTTGCAGACTGGCTGCTGCAGTTCAGGGCACTGAGACACTGGCAGAACTCAGGTGGAGCTGAGTGTGGAGCAGAGCAACGTGGTGGAGTGTCCTGGAGTGCTGGGCTGTGTGTGAGCACTCCAGAATCACTCTGGGGAGTGGTGCATCAGCTTCCTGCTTAGTATGTGATGGTTCCAAATGCAGACAGGATAGGGGATGTTGCTGGGCAAGATGGAGGAACCAAAACTGAGACTGTTGGGGCCTTGAAGGTGCCAGAAGATCTTAATGGCTGTGGACAGACTCCCCCAGGACCTCCATCCACTCCCTCTTCAGGTGTCAGAGCTGATTAACAGGGGAGGGCTTTGTAGGCTGAGAAGGAAAAGCCTGATAGAAAAAGGGAGCAAGAGAGATGCCCCTGCTGACATTGTCACCAGGTAGGGACTTTAGCCATCCATGCAGAAGTGTGTAATTGAAACCAGCCACCTCCTCGACACCCACTGAAATACTTTCTTGTGCTAGGACATCTTACCCCACCTCCAAGCTCACAGGCAGGTCAGAACAAGTGACACTATTTCACCCTAATCTGTCACACTCATGGAATTGAGCAGGAGGTGGGGACAGAGAGTGATGAGCTGTTGAGATGGGAATCCTGATTTAGCAGTGAGCTTTATGCCTTGCTGCTATCTGCTTGCTGCAGGCAGCCTCTGCTTTCTGTGCCCAACATCTTGACCAGAATGGGAGTGTCAGGGGGGTTCTGGCACCATGAATTCTGGCTGCCAGCTGGAGCTACCTGGGAGGACTTGAAGGAGTCTGCAGACACACACTACCCGCAGCCTCAGGACCTCCTGCTCTGCATCCCTGGTGCCCTGCTTTTGATCTTTGTTCGATGGCTTTTTGAAAGGTGAGTGCAGCACCTCTGCTTTCTCCTGTGCTGGTCAAGACACTGTCCAGTGTCTTGCAGGGTTGCTCCAGAATAATCCTTACCTGCCTCCCGACCACTACACTACAAAGTGTACAGGAGCTTGTCCCCAGGAACACTGAATCTCTCTGCTTTTCATGGCATATGGTATTTGTGTGGCAGCCCTTTGGCCTGCCCTCCCTCTCTCTTGTACCTGTACCATAACCTGTACCAGCAGGTGTGAAAAGACAAGTTCATCACTCGGTCACACCTGAGCTGTGGGTGGAGGGTCCCTCTGGAGAGAGACCAAACTGAAGCTTGCAACACAGATGAGGGATTTCCTGGGTGTTGGGAGCCCCCAGCTGAGGCAGGGTTCAACCTGATCCCAGAGGATGCTCCTGTAGGTGCTGTGTGAGGTCCCCAGCCCAGCACAGAGGCAGGAGGAGGGGGTGACCATGGCTCCCAGAACTCACTGTGGGACCACTTTGCTCACAGCACTCCTTGCCCAGCTCTGCCCTGCTTCCTCCTCCCAACACCAGAGGACCCCAGTTCCACCAGAGGGACAGACTTCAGTGTCCCAGCTGCGGGCACTGCGCCCCAGGGGAGCCTGAGGGTCAGCTGGCATCTCCCAGGATTCATGTGTGGAAATGAGGCAGGTCCACATGGCTCATGCCAGGAGATGGATCCAGATGGTGCTTTGAGCCCCTTTTCCAGGAACAAGGACTGGCACATGGGGAGGTACAGACCAGCCCTCAGGCACAGAGAATGGGAAGCTGTTCAGTGCCAGTGTGGGCAGAACTGCCAGGACACTTTCCCACCAGGCAGAGCAGGGCTTTGGGGTGGGCGAAGGGGGGACATGAAACAGGAAAGCTGTATGCAACAAACCTGCCCTAAGCTGGGGCAGGGTCTCTCTCCTGTGGCCTGGAGGAGCTGGGGGAGCACTGGCCCATCTCCCCAGGGTGCTGGCTCCTGCCTGCAGTGAGCAGTTGTGTGAGAAGACGTGGCAGACACAAGCTGTAGGAAGAGCCAGAATTAATCCCAGTGTCATCAGGTCTTCCCTCAAAGAAGCAAAGGCCTGTTGCACTTGCCTGGCTTGCTAGAAACAACATGATTTAGGAAGCAGTGCCTCCCACTAGAGCTTTCCTGGGTTTCCTGCAGGAACCAGCACATCCCCACATGTTCTGTCCCTGGCTCCTGCTGCAGGCAGTGGTCAGGTACTCTGGGCACAGAGCACACGGGTCACTCAGACACTTGCAGATTGGTTTCATGGCATAGTCTGGACTGCTCGGGAAGGCTGTAAAGGGGACCAGCATGCACACCAACCCAGAGACATGCTCTGTATCTCAGGGCCTCGGCAGAATTAATTATTGTTTACTTAGCAGTGGTTACTGTTGTCTCCACTGCACAGCCAGCACCCATCACCTGTGTTTTGGTGCCACTGTGTCTGTCTGACCTGACAGAGGCACCGGGCTTTGCATGTGCTCTGGAGCAGCCCTGGGTGCCCGGGGCTGTGTGTGCAGAGCTGGGTGTGTGAGCACTGGGGCAGGGCTGGGCCCCTGGGGCAGTGCATCCATGCACAGAACGTGCTGGCTGACCCTGGCTCCCAGTGTGGGCACACAGGTGCTTTTCTGCCTGAACTCTCCTCTTGCAGAACTGTGGCTCTGCCCTTGGGCAGGGGGTTGGGCGTGAGTGACAAGCAGAGGCCCAAAGTTCAGCCCAACGCCACGCTGGAAGGCTTCTACGTCCTGCTGGGCAGAACCCCGAAGGAGGTGAGTGTCCCCAGTGTCCCACTTGTCTCACTCCCCAGGCAAGCAACACCTTCTTTCTGTCCAGGTACCCCAGGCCAGACAAACCTGCCTCACAGGCAAGGCAGTTACTGCTCACCACCCTTCCAGGGAAGGAAATATATAAGCAAATATTCCAGCATCTTGCAACACGTCACACTGCTGCAATCCCAGCACCTCCTGACCTGCTGTGTGTCACACAGCAGGTGCTGTGAGAGCTGCAGGCTCTGGCAGGGAGGCAGCCATCACCCCTTTGGGCAGAGTCTATTAAGGCTGATTATTTGTAGCAGAACTGCAAGTCCTCCAGAATCACAGAATCATTTAGGTTTGAAAACCTCTCTCAGATCATCGAGTCCAACTATTAACCCAGCACTGCCAAGGCCACCACTAAACCATGTCTCCAAGTACTACATCTACACATCTTTTAAATCCTTCCAGTGATGATGACTCTACCACTGCCTTGGGCAGCCTGTGCCAGGGCTTGAGGTATTTCCAGTCTAAACCTCCCCTGACCCAATCTGAGTCCATTTCATCTTCTTCTACCCTCCTGTCAGGGAGTTGTGGAGAGCAAGAAAGTTCCCTCTGAGCCTCCTTTTCTCCAGGTTGAGCCCCCCCAGCTAATCCTGGTGCTCTAGACCTTTCCCCAGCTCCGTTCCCTTCTCTGGACACTCTCCACTCACCACCACTCTCTGGGCCTGGATCCTGACTCATGCTGATGCATGGATTTTAAAAATAATTTTTTACTTAAATCTGTATGAAGCTTTGTCCGAATAATTAAAAAATGCTCGTGAGGTCATATTTACATTCATTTTAATCACAATTTATAAACTTTATGTAGTGTTATTTGGAATTAATGGAGAAAATGAGGATGTTGAAATTTATGTCTTTGAGCCTGTGACTGTGCAGCCACTCCAACAGCTGGATGGTTTTGCTGACATTACCGAGTGAATTATCTGCTTGTTTCTTTACCATCACAAGCTGAAATTCTTTTTATCTTCAGGTTTGTTATCTGCAGCTGATAATTATCAGTCAAAATTGTATCAGAGGTGGAAAAAAAAGTATTTAGACTTTTATACCCAGACATTACATCCCATTGTGTACAGCTGCTAAAATTCAACCAGGGAGAGGCCGTGCTTCTTTCTGAACCTGCATTTAGATACGTCTGAATTAGAGTTTAAAAAGGGCCACAGTCATCTGGGAGTTCACAAATGCAAATAGAATTGATACAATTTTTTTCCAAAGGAAGGTGTTCTTTGGGGAATGGTGGATGGGCATCCCGTGGGAGCACAGCTCTTCCCCTCACACAGGGACCAGCAGCCTCCAGAAGGCTCAGTCCTGCCTCCCTGCCCTGTTTTGCAGGAGGACCTGATTTCACTGGCCAAGCAAAGTGACCTGCCCATCAGAAAGGTGGAGACCTGGTTCCGGCTCCGGCGGGCCCAGGACCGGCCCAGGCTGATGAAGAAGTTCTGTGAGGCCAGGTGGGTGGGTCAGGGGAGGCTTTTAGTGATGGAGGCCTCCAACAGGTCTGCACATCATCACCACCCTCTGCCCTGTCCTTACCCAAAACGCTCTCCCAGGGAAACCTGCTGCCAGCTGAGGCTGCCAACAGAGCCTCTGTCCCCTCCCTGCAGCACTGCCAGCTTCGTCCTCCCTCCCTCCCTACCTTCCTCTCTCCCTCCCTGCCTTCCTCCCTCCCCCCCTCCCTCCCTCCCTCCCTTCCTCCCTCCCTCCCTGCCTTCCTCTCTCCCTTCCTTCCTTCCTCCCTCCCTTCCTTCCTTCCTTCCTCCCTCCCTTCCTTCCTCCCCTCCCTCTCTGGCTCCTCTCCCTCCCCTCCCTCCCCTCCCTCCCCTCCTTCTCCTCCCTCCCTCTCTTCCCTCTCTTCCCTCTCTCCCCTCTCTCCCTTCCCTCCCCTCTCTTCCTTTAACTTTAAAAGTTGCCTCAACAGAGTCCAGTGGCCTTGATGGAGAACAGGTTTAAATCTCAGATGCTGGAGGGATTTTGAGCACTCAAGCCATTTTCAAAATGCATTCGCTTCTTTTCAAGATGATCTTGACACAAAATTAGCATTTTAAGATGTTGTCAGCATGGATCTTTGGGCATGAAATAAATCCACGAAGTGCAGTTAGTAGGCAGTGCAAGCCATGAACAGGGGGAGGCAAAACCTGAAAACCACCAGAAAGCACCAAAATCTTCATTCCATTTCCTCAAGCTGTTTGCTCTCTTACATGAAATCTTCCTGCACATCTCAGTAAGACTTGGAGTCAGGATGGAGAGGCAGTCACTAAGTGTCTTGATCAAAAGAATCAGATTATCTCTGGCTCTCACCTTGGGGTTTAATGATGTGTGAACACAAAGACCCCCATCAAGTAAGAGATCTGCTGTCCTTCCCCTTCTGAAAAATGAATTATTCAGTGCTTGAATCCTGTTACTGTGCTTTTTCAAAAATATTCTCCCCCTAAAAGCTTGTTCAATGCTCTGTACTGCAGCATTTCTGAGGAGAGGGATAAAACCCCCAGTACTCCTGTGCCATCACTGGGAAAAATTAGGTGCCTTCCAGAGGCTGGGGTGTATAAGCACAGGTGACCTACAAACACCCACACAGCAAAAGGTGACAGGGAGAGGCATCTTGGCAGTCTTGCTGCATCCTCTTTACCACTGCTGGAGTGCACAGGGGATCTGGGCACAGTGAGGGCCACAGCAGAGCCTGGGTGGGCTGTGGGGACCTTGTTGCCTTACAGCACACACCTGCTGTGCCAATGGAGCTGAGATTCTGCTAATTCCTGTCCAAACAAGCATAGGTTCCCCTGTGGGCATCCTGGACACAGCCTGGAGAGCTATTCCAACTCTGGAGGAGGTCTTAATTCCTTGTTTTGTGTTTTAGCTGGAGATTTATATTCTATTTCACCTCGTTCTTCTCCGGACTGGCTCTTCTGTATGATGTAAGTATGTGAGCAGGGTGATGCTGTGAAGTGACACCTTTCAAGGGTACCTTGTTCACTGCAAATGAAGCTGATGGTCCCAGGCCACTCCCAAGAGCCCAAGATGATGTGTGGCCATGATTATGTGTCCAAAGACAAAGAAGGACAAATTCAGGGGGATGGAGCAGAACAATCCCTAATCCTGATCCAGCATAGCAGTTCCCCTCTCCCTTGGTGGACCTGGCTAGGAGTCAGTGATGTTACCACGCTGTCCTTGTCTTAGATCCTTGTGTAAGTGCTTCACCACAGATACCCCCACACAGCTCTTGTATCTCAGACAAGAGCAGACCCTGTCCTGACTCTGGCTGCTGCCCACTCCTTATCACGACCCTTTGTGTGACATCCTGTGCATTCTCTAATGACAAATGCACTTTCCCAACCACTTTTTCTAAAGCTCAGAGCCAGATTGGATCTAGCATGGGCACATGAGTCCTTGTAGTATCTCTGCCAGTGCTCATCATATGTCATTAAAAGGCTATGGTTTCTTACTGCTGCCTTCTCTCTGAACAGAAGCCCTGGTTTTGGGACCCCACCGTGTGCTGGTTGAAATTTCCACAACAGGTGAGCAGCAGGTACATGGAATCACAGGATGATTCATAGTGGAAGGGGGATAAAGAGGTTTCTTGCCCAACATCCAGCTCGCAGCACTCAGCTGTGGGATCAGACCAGGTTACCCCAGGTTTTCTCCAGTTTAGTTTTGAAAACATTCAAGCATGAAGACAGCACAACCTCATGATTAAAAACTTTATCCTTATAACTCCTTATATCCACCTGTTCTCTTTCAACACTCCTCTCATCTCTCATCCTCACATCATGACAGCTTGGCTCCACCTGCTTGACAAGCTCCTCACAGGTGCTCCATGTGAGCATGGGGAGCTCTGTCCTGAGCAGACACCACTTCTCATGAGTTTCTTTGTCACCCAAACCTGGCTGGAAGTGGCTCTGTGTGTGTGGCCACAAAAGGGACCAGGTGGTCAGGACATCTGATGTCTCAAAGCAGGGATGGAGATGAGGTGTCTGACCCCCTGAAGAGGGGAGATCCCATCTGCTCTCAGTCCCTCTGCAGGCTGGCCAGGCTGGTCCTGGGTTTGGACCGGCCTGTCAGTGCATCAGCAAATGGTTCAGTCACTGGGAACAGGAAAATTTAGGGATGACCAAGCCTTGCTGTCCCAAATGCAGGTTGAATGAAGGGGCTTTCCCCAGGAAGACCCTTCCCCTCTCCTGTCCCCCAGGGCTAAGCAGGGCCATCACGCTGCCTGTTGCTTATCTTGCAGCCTCTCCCACCTGCACTGGGCTGGTTCTACCTCCTGGAGCTCTCCTTCTACTGCTCACTCGTGGCCACTCTGCCCTTCGATGTGAAGAGGAAGGTGAGTGACAGCAGCACGACCACGACCTGCTGGCTCGGTCAGTCACCACCATGAGCCTGTCCCCTCTGCTGTCAGCTCCCCAGGGCTGCAAAGGGGAGGGCACGTGTGCTGCTGTGGAGATCCTTGAGCACTGAGCCCCTCCAGCACTCATATCCCACCACTGCACCTTGCACTGGGCCCTGCTTATGCACAGTGTGGCCTCCCTGCCTCTGGGGCTGGGGGAGGGCTGGGGGCTCACACGGGGGTCCCCATACCTGGCCAAAGGACAGACTCTGGGTGGATGTGGCATCACAGCCCTTCCCAGCTCTGGTCTCAGGTGCTGCCTGCACTGGAGGGCTGTGTCTCCTCATGGGAAGGACTTGGGCTGCTCTGATTAGGGTCCTGTAAATTCATGTGTGACTTTTGCAGCGTGGGATGAGATGACCTCCTGTACCCAGCATCCAACCTTGCCCTCACCTCGTTCTGCAGTGGAGACTGCACAGAGCTGTAGTAGGGTGGGGAGCACTGCTGCTTTGTGGAGGTGTTTGACACAGCCTAGTGAGGAGGCAGCATGATAGGAACAGGTGCTGCCAGGTCAAGGTAAGGCTGACAATCTCCCTTCTCATGCCAGGACTTTAAGGAACAGATCATCCACCACATCGCCACCATCACTCTGATCTTTGTCTCCTACTGTGCCAACATGATCCGGTTTGGGGTGATGGTCATGCTGGTCCATGATGCCTCCGATTACATTTTAGAGGTGCGTTAAACTCTCACATAGAATCACAGAATGGTTTGAGTTGCAAGGGACCTGAAAGCCCAACTCATTCCAACCCCTTGCCATGTGCAGGGACACCTTCTGCTAGACCAGGGTGCTCTAAGCCCCATCCAACCATCTATGCCCCAGGGATGGGGCAGCCACAGCTTCTCTGGGCAACCCACCCTCTCACCACCCTCTGAGTAAAGAATTTCTTCCTAACATCTAATTTAAATCTCTCCTCTTTTAGTTTAAAACTGTTGTCCATGTAAAAAGGTGCTCTCCCAGTCTCAAGTCTGTGCTTGTGTCTGTGGGCAGCACTGGGAACCGTGTTCACACACTGATGTGGTGCCCCACGAGTGGGACACGTACTTCAGTGAAAGCACATTTAGGAACTACCAGACCTACTGCTCTTGAGGAAAAGTAATTGGATGCAAAGGGATTGGGACACATCCCCACAAGCCCTTGTCACCCTTGCAGGATGTGGGAAATCCCTCAGCCCTTAGGAGAAGAACACAGGCACAAGGGACACACAGCAATGTTTCTTTACAGCTTGCCAAGATGCTTCATTACCTGAAGTGGCAGCGGGTCTGTGATGCTGTTTTCTTTGCTTTTGCTGTGGTTTTCATCATCTCCCGGCTTGTCATTTTCCCATTAATGTAAGTTACGTTTTGCTGTTTTCTGAACACGGGTGTTGTGCACTGTTTGAGCTCCTGGAGAGGTGACCCTCCATGCTGAGAGGAAGAAAGGCAAAGAATGGGACACAACAGGTAAGTTCAAAGATTAATTCAACTGGAACAGAGGAACCCAAGGGGAGAAAAACCGATAGGGCTTTAACTTTATTAATTATATTAGTTAATTATCTCAATTAATCTAGAGCCACAGCATTTACCCCTCCATTCCCACACTCTCACCATCTCTCCTAGGCAGGGGCTGCCTCTCACCTGGGGGCTCATCTGATGAGATGTTTACATGCAGCCACAGCGGGTGATTTCTCATGAGCTCTTGTGGTACTGGGAATGGTTAGGATGTCTTTCTCATGCTTTGAGAGAGCTGGGCAGAGTGTGAAGCCTGATGGTGCAGTCCTGGCACAGCTCAGCTCTGCCCTGGGGACACACCAGCCAAGTCGTTTCCCAGAAAGATATTTGACCCTTGTAAGTGTGAAGACACTTGGCCTGCTTTAGTCTTGTGTCTTCTGACTTCCTTCTCCCTCTCTTTCCCACAGTGTATACCATTACTTTGTGACAAAACTTCCATTGTTCCCCATAAGCTGCCTGATAAATGCTTTCCTGGGGGTCCTGCAGCTGCTACACATTTTCTGGTCCTATCTGATCATCCACATGATCTTCAGTGTCATCCTCTGTGGTGGGGTATGAAAAGTCTTTCTCTTTTGTGCCACCACCACCACTCATGAGAGACCACGAGGTCCAGGTTTCCTGCCTGCCTGCAGGGAAGGGGTGGGTGAGAAATGGGAGTGCCCAACAAAGAGTCCGAGAGTTCCATGTTGGGAGCTGTGTGGATAACTTAGCTCACAGAAATCAGAGCAGGAGCTCACTGCTGGTTTGCAGCTGTGTCCTGGTGACATGGGAGCCATCCACAGTCCTTTCCCCTCACTGCCCAACAGCTTCTTAGTCTGTGGTTTGGGAGAACAGGAATCTGTTGGTATGTCCAAAGTGGAGTAAGGAAGGAGCAACCAGGTGAGCCTGGTAGACAGCACACTGTGTATTTGCATCTCTGGGTTTTGGGTACTTTCCACAGGCTCTTGATGCATGCCAGAGCTTGTATAGAGACCACTGGGAGAAATGTTGTCATCAGAGAGGGCAGCTCCCTGGCCTGCCTTGCTAGCACAAGCAGATGGCATCGTGGGAGCATCTGAGAAGATCTGTGAAAGCTTTGGGGACCTGTGGCCAGCAAAAAAAACCCCACGGTGTTGGTGTTATGCCTTCAGCTTACCTTGAAGTACCCCTTTATCGAAGCTAAATTACAATAAAAAGCAGTTTTTCTGAGGAAATGATGGAGGATATGCTCACTGAGGTTGCAGAGGGTTGCAAAATGAGGAGCCCAGTGCATACACTCGCTGGACAAATAAGTGTTGACTTTCACAGTTTCGGCAGTAATAAATTGCACAGGAAAATATGCAGAATAACTATATGTAGAATAAATACTAACTTATTTTCAGAAGGTCACATTACAAGTTAGGTGAAATCATAACTAAGCCAACCTCTGGCAGCCTGAGTCAACCTCCCAGCGCAGGGACAGTTGCAGCACTGGCTTTAAGGACATGATCACACCTGTTATTATTATTTTAGCTGCCAGGCTACCCCCCCCCCCCCCCAGGGCTGTGAATGAAAACAGCTCTAGTCCTCTCTAATATATACCATGATATATTAGAGCTCATTTGCAGCTCATTTCAACCGACTTTGTTTTCTTCAGAAAAGACAAGATGCCAGAAGTGACACCGAAGAGAGTGACGGGAGCGAAGCAGAGGATCCAGCAAAGAACCAAGAATAACTCAGGGCTTGCTGCAAAACACCAGGAGCCAGGCAGACTCTGGAGTGCAGGAAGGCTGAACAGAAGCTGGGGGAGAGGCCTGAGAAGCTCACAGAGGCTTCACCACAGTCTGCCTGAGGCAGCATCCACTGCCTAGGTGGAGATGAATTTCTTCATCATGTTTATAGGCAGTTAAGTCACTTCAGGAGATATTTTCTACAATTCTCTTGTTAGGACCATTCTTTTACTACTACTCTATGATGTTCATGTGGGGAAAAAAAAGGGTCTGCCAGCCAAAGTCTCACTCTGAAAAGAGAAGAGGGGTTGAACAAGCTGCTGAAGTTATGACACCTTTCTACACTTACCTCAAGGTCTTCCCAAGAGATTAATGACATAATAAATTTCAACTGTGGAAGATTTAAATTATTTGCAATTTCAGAAAACAGTGACACCATCTCCAGCCACTTTATGAAAGGACTTGCATGTGAAAGGCATTGGCTTAAGTGGCAAATAAGTTTTCACTTCTTCAGCATAAAATAGTCAGGCTCTGGGATGAATCATTTCTGCAAATAAAGCCTGGACGACTGATAGAAGTTGTGTGTGCTGTATGAATTATACAAATAGCTCATGGGCCTAAAATATTTTGCTAATTGAATGTCTACTCAGGAAGAAGGCTTCTGAAATTGAAAGGAACTGAAACTCTTCCAAAGGCACATTTTTCTACCAGAAATTATAATTATAAATAATAGATAGAAACTTTCCATATGGATGTATTAATTTTGTTGATATTTCATTTTCAAAACTGGAAAATAGGAGCGTTATAACACTAACATTTTAAAAGGGTAGTTTAGGGGTTGGATGATGCTTCACCTTGCAATTTATTGCATCTGATTTGATTTTCAGAATTTATAGTAGAACATAAAATTTTAAAGTCAACATAAAATATTAATTACACCTAAACCAAAAAAGCTTTGTTTATGTACATTTTGCATGATGCAGGAGATTTTTAGAATATCAGAACTTATGTCAGCAGGGGAATCTTCTTTGAAACTTGCTGGAGGTCTAACATCACATAACTCAGAGGCTGAACCAGCATTCCCTTGGAGGACTGTGGAGTTCAGGTGTGCAGGCTGCAATGCTGGAGGGCAGGCAGGCACCATCCCTGTGGGGCACCAGCCCTGAGCAGGGTGTCACCTCACCCCAATAGCTGCACTTTGCTGGGGGCACGAGACCCTTCATTAAACCCTGGTGTTTGCCCAGGAATTATTTCACCCTGTCCATTGAGTACAATGCTTTCTTTTAAAGCTTCAAATGACACATGAGAACTAAAGCTTTTAAAAGACTCACACAGCCCTCAGGCCACAGCTGGCCCCTGGGCACAGAGAACAGGCCCAGCCTCCAGTGCTGCAGCACCACCATGGGGACCCTCAACCCTGAGGGGAAGCCAGCCTGGACTGGGAGGGCTCCACATCTGCAGGACATCCTGACACAGCTCTCACAGTGGCAGGGTTGCTTTTAACCAACACCTCTCCGTTTTTAAGACCTCCCCCATTCTCTGGAGGTGTTAATCATTCAGCTCAGGAACTCTCTCGAGTGCATTTTCCTTGCTGTGTCACATCCAAGAACAGACTCTGCCAGCACAGGTGACAGTAAGGGTGGCAGTGCAGCACCCCAGGTCGGTGCTGTTGGACTCTCCTCTTCTCAGCTAAGCATGCACTGTGACATCATTCTCTCAGCCTCCCCATCCTCGGGAGGCCTGAGCACCCCTGGAGATCAACCCCCCACTGCTCTAAGCCCATAGTCCTGCCCAGCAAACCCACTTCCTTACACACAGTCTTTAAGCACAGCTACAGGCAGGTCCCTGCTCCTTGCACCCTCGTTTCAGTGCTTTGGGATGGGGATTTTTGTTCTGAGTCTGTGCAGCAACTAATCCAGTGAGGACTAAGCGAACTGAAGCAAGTCTCTTAAGTGCCCCAATGTACAAATATTTGTTATCACATACCTGAGTGCATAAATCCAGAATAGCCTCCCTCCTGCTGTGGTGCTCTCCAGCCTAGAACAAAGGTAATTTTAGCCATAATTACATAACCTGTGAAACTTGCTTATTTCAGGCTAAAATGGTAATGATATTGATTGGCTATGGCTTGACGACAATAATTGTTGGGGGGTTTTTTTGCTCCGTTCTAAATCACTATGAGCTCATAATCCTGCTGAAGATTCCCTTGACACACATTTGATTTATTATTTAAATCCTACAATATTTTCTAACACTGATGCAGTGACTTTCCTGTCTCTTCCAGCTGTTCAAAGGACAGAGAGCCACAGAGCTTCAAGGTCAGAGCAGCCCTTTATTTAGCAACAACCCTGAGGAGGTTATGTACCATTTTCAATAATGACTTTCAGCCTTTGTGCAGACACGAAGTTTTTCACCGGCTTTTCCTTCGAGTTCATTTGTAGAAAAAAAAAAAAGATAAAGTTACAAAAGAACAAATATATTTTCAAAATTAAAAAATTTCACAGGCCAAACTTGATGCAGTCTAACTCCCTTCAGCTGTAAAGCAGGTGACTTTTTGTTTGTGGTGGATCTGGCACCGCTCACACCCACGTATCGAATCTTCGCACAGAGACACAGCCGTGAATAGGAAGGGGGCAAGGGAGTTTGTTATCTATGACCTGGCACACATCAGTGTAGGGATCAAAGAGGACTACAGTGGGGAGGGCACTGTTCCCCTTCCTCTGTCCAAGGAGATAAATTCGTCCGTTCACAGTGCTGCATCCCATGAAGAACTTCTGAGTCAAGCACTCCTCGTTCACCTGGGTCCATTCATCGGTCTCCACATCAAATCGAAAAGCTCCCCCTCCTATGGTGTACAGAGCCCCATTCAGGGATGTGATGCAGAGGTCATACCTGGGAGGGAAGAAACCCCTGATCAGAATCAGCAGAAAGATCTGGCCCCTGAAATATTCAGTATGACCGTGCTCCTCAAATCAAGAGTCCCATTTAAACAGAGAATCACAGAAGTGTTGCAGGGACAGGACTTCTGGATTTCTACAGTCCAACTTCTTCCTGAAGCAGGACCAACACTAGAACCTTTCTTCTTCTGCCAGGTCCCAGAATATTATTTCTTACCTTGGAAGCGGGGAGAACGAGATGACATCCCAGTTGTCTGTCTCCGTGTTCAGCCTTTGCACTCCATCATACACATGTCCATTCTCATCCAGGCCACAGACCACATAGATCCTGGTTCCCACACTGACTGCATCACCCCTCTCCACAGGCTGAGCCATAGGGCTCATGCTTTCCCACTCTGATTCCACCAAAGCCATGCGCTCCACTGTGGGGGTTATCCCTTCCTCGGTGCTCCCTCCGAGCACGTACAGGTAGAGCCCTGCTCCCACTGCACAGTGGCTGTTCCGGGACTTCTTCATGGCTGGCCCTTCCAGCCAGCTGTTGTCCAAGCAGTTGTAGATGAGCACCCAATCCACACTGTACCACACAAACTCATCCCGGAAATATCCTCCTGTCACAAAAAGGAAGCTCCCTGGAAAGACAGCAGAGAAAAGCGTCAGTCACACGAAAGCTAAAAATTGCTCCTGAGAGCTGGGGTTCTCGTTTCGTCCTGGGATGTAGTAGAGAGGTGCAAAATGAGCAGAGAACATCACTGTTCTATCAACCAGTTTGCAGTATTTGACTCCTCATCCTCACAGATACACTGGGCCCATGGGATGAAGGGATTCCTTCCAAGCCTGCTCCCACTCTTGAACAGATTCGTGGCAACACTGGTTGGAAAGAACCTCTGAGTATCTCATTTCCAAACTCCCACCTGAAATGAGACTATCACTAACACTAATATAGGAAGCCATGGTATTGAACTTTCTTGAAATTCATCTCCAAGCATAGAGATTTCCTAACGTCCACGGATAAGTTTAACATAATGGCAACTGTAAATCAGAAGTCGCCTGACACCTGCCAAAACCACCACGAAAGAGAAGGCAAAAAAAATAACACTGCTCAAAATCAAGTCCTTTGATTCACTGTAGATGAAGCCAATGTAAGGAGCTCAACAGACTCCACAGTTTCTGCTACATGAAAAGAAATATTCAGCCTTGTCTAGCATTCTCCCAGGACCAAGGAAAACAGAACCATTCTTTCAGCAAATATGAACACCAATACGAATGAGGTTTTAGCAATGCTGAGCACAGCAGTTTTACAGCAGCAGCTGGACTCCCTGCAGCAGGGATTCTCTGTCTCAACTTCTGTTTGCATGTGCTCAGTCTCCCTCCTCTGTGAGTTACCTACTGCTGCCACTGCGTACTGGGTGAGGTTCCGGCGCTGCAGAGGAGAACAAGCCTGCCAGGTCCCTGTTTTAGGTAGAAAGAGAAATAATTCTTGCTGTTCCTTGTCATGCTTTCCTCCCAGGACGTATAAGGTGTCATAGCTCCGACCAGCATAAGGACACAGTTTGGGATTTTGCCAGCTGGGTGGAGGACAGCAGTCTAACTTCTTTATTAGTCTGGAAAAGACATCTGCCTCTCCACGGTGCTTGCTGCGTTTCACCAAGAGATCGAGGAAGGACAAACTCAGAAAAGCAACCCTGACTTCACCCACCAAATCCAGAAATTCTTCCTCTCTCGTTGCTGGGTCCTCCATTATCCACCTCATAATACTGTCAAAAACCACGTCTTCTCGCGAAACGAAGAGGTCGTCACTTTTTAGGAGCTGCATCAGCATTTCTTTGGGTAGTGCCTTAAATTCCTCCTGGCACATCACATCCCCCCAGTGAGTGACAGCCACGTTCACAGCAGACTCATACAGCTCTGTGAAGGCAAATTGCTGCGAGTAGGTCATCAGGCCCAGGCAGTTGGAAACGTGCAGCTCTCTCTCCAGAAATTTCTCACACAACAGTCTCACCCTGTCAAACTGGAAAAAATCAGCCGTTTCCAGTAAACTGGTCACATTTTCTTGACCTATAAGCACTTGGGCTGTGCGAGTGAACTCGAGTAGAGCCTGAAAAGGCACTGCATCGATCCCTTGGATCACTATGTGCTGCTCAGAGCTCTCTCTTGCCCCTCCAAAAAACATGGCTTCAAAGTAACGACTGTGCATGGAAAGCGCCCTGCGGCTGACCTGAAACAGTCTCTCTCCAACCTCAAGAACTGTGTCTGCAATCGTTTCTGTCTGAGGTCCCAGCTCCTGAGGCTCCTGTGAAGGCTCCATGCCTGTGGACTGCCAGGCAGTTAAAATTAACTCAGTCTTCACGCGGCCCTTACTTGTGTGAGGTCTCTGGAAACATTATCCCCCTGGCTAGAATGAATATGAGATAAGCCAATCTTCCCCTAAAAATAGAATGTTTTCTGCTCTCCTGCTTTGCTCTTCAGTCTTTCCTGCTGCTTTCAGAACAGCAATTGCAGAACAGTTGTATGACCAAAAAATGCAGATTTGACTGGCGTCTGCCTTCATCAGGTAAGACCACAGCAAATCAGGGGGCTGTTAGCCAAGCAAAGAGCCTGGAAAAAACAGCAGAAACAACCACAAGCTTCCTAAGCACTGAGTATCAGGAAGTTGTACAGAAACATTGAAGCCATTTGGAAAAAAGTAAGCATTACCACACCTTTCATCAGTTCAAGTTTAATATCGAATTCCAGAGTGATTGCAGTTTTTACTATGTATCTAACTTTAGTAAGAGAGGAAGGGAAGGAGCCCCCCATTCAAACCCAGACAGCTTCACATGTTTAGTCATCCTCAATCTGAATGCACTAAACAAACACAAATGTAGGACAAGCAGCAGCTCATTGATGCCATAGCAAATTTTTCCAAAGGCAAATGGAGGTATTTGCATAGTGACCTTGAACTTGCATAGTGACCAGAACCCTTACCTGAACAGCCCAAACCAACAGGACTTGGTGCCAGTTCTCAGCAGAGCTCAGCAAGCAGAAGCATATACACTCTTAAAATTCATATATAGAATCATAGAACTTTGGGATGGTTTGGTTTGGAAGGGACCTTTAAAGGTCATCCAGTTCCAACCAACCCCCCTGCCATGGGCAGGGCCACCTTCCACTAGAGCAGGTTGCTCAGAGCCCCATCCAACCCGGCCTTAAATGCTCCCAGGGATGGGGCAGCCACAGCTGCTCTGGGCAACCTGTGCCAGGGCCTCAGCACCCTCATCATAAAAAATATCTTCTAGTCTGCATCACCCCTCTTTTAGCCATTACCCCTTGTCCTGTCACAACAGGCCTTGCTAAAATGTCTGTCCCCTGTCATTTTTGTGTTCTTCTTTTCAGCTGCTTGGCTCCCAAATATACCCTCAAAGTCTGCACTGCAAAGGGAGCCACACAGCTTGCAATGAAGACTAAGCAAGCTATCAAGCAGGAAATGCTGGAAACATGCTCCTCTCCAGTTTACACACTTGATCCCTGACTCCAGGCAGATCTCTCTGCCCTGAGAGCCCAGAATTCCCTCCAGAGAGCCTCAGCAGGTCCGTTTCTGATGCTACACCCAGAGAGTGCAGAGACAGTGCATGTTACTGGCTTCAACACCCAGAAATCTCTCTCCCACCTAAAGAACAGTTCAAGACCCTGCTCACACTGATGGAGAGCAGATTCTGCTCCTACCTCTCTAAATAAGGACTCTCTTTTGAACTGTGCAATTGCATGAACAAGTTTTGCAGCATTAGAAAGAAATTACATCGTGAGGAGCACTGCTCTACAGACAGTTCTGTGAGCCAAAGGATGAGCCCCCAGGAGATTAAAAACCAGCAGCACCCAAGTTCATACAGGCAATATGCCACATAAGACACCTGGTCCCCAGTTTCAGAGCCTCCTGGAAAAGTCAGATTGACTGGACTGGAATTAATTTCAAGTTCCCACCCGTTTCGGAGCTGACCCAGGACAGGCTCTGAATGGGAGCACAGTGCTGTGGCCAAAATAACAGGCAGTAAAACCTGTCCTTGGCAGGAACAAAACTGCTGCTGCCACCAGAACAATTGACTCTGCCACAGCCTCCTCCTAAGGGGTCCTCAGGAAAAGCAGGTGGCAGGAGGTCACACATCCTTGGCTGGGCAGTCTTTAAAATGCCTGACAGAGATGCACAAGTCTCAGAAGAGGGACCAGATTCTCTCAGGTCTTTCCCATCGATTTCTTGCCCGAGTGGAGCATGGCTTCTGCTCTGGTCCCTCCTGATTCTGCATGTTTATGTACTCCCTGAACAAATTTTGTTTAGATTTATGGCTGGAGAACTGTAATGGAAGTGCACTTTTACAGACTGAAAACCAGACATTTAGAAACAGATTCATTTGTATTTATTCACTCAAAACTCCTCAAATCTTGCATTTTCTGCAGTATAAAAAAAGAAATAAAAATGTTTACTTACAAATCAAGTTATAACAAGCAGAACCATCAGTGGATAGCTACAATATAAAAATATGCAGTATTTCCAGCACTGCCGACAACTGAACATCGGAATTTTAAATATTCTTCCCCTAAAATTCCAAGTATCAAACAGATACCTCTATAAGGTTCAAGTTACTCAACAAAGAATCATCCCACAAGTTAGCCCAGTCCTTCTGAAGGAATGTGTGAGCCAGCTGACACACAGATCACAGTGCACCAGATCTGGAACAAGTGCTGGAAAAGACCTTCTTGGCTACATCCCCTGCCAAGGTGGTGACACAGTACTAAACAAGGAAGGTAATTTCCCTGCACAAAAGAGACTGAACTCAACAGCAGGAAGAATACAGCACAATGCTTCCCAGCTGAGTACTGACATCTAAGAGGAAGAAAAACATGTTTTAATGTATTTAGGTTTTGATTTAGATTAAATACAATTTAATGTATTTAAAAATGTAAAGAATATAACCAGTATTCAGGGCATTCTTAACTAATTTAATGGGTTTGTTTCAAAACTCACAAGATCAAGGGGGTCTCAGAAAATTAATGACAGTTTGTTCTCTCCTGTCAGCTATAAACAATGTAGTTACACACTCATTTGGGGCTGGTGTACTTACTCTTGCATGCCCCATCCTCACATAATTTATGGGGAGCCACAAAAATAAAAGCTGACTGTTTTTTCACACTAACAAATACACATTCAAACTCCCTCCCCAAAACAGGAAGCTTCTCACACACTGATAGTTTTCTCCAATGACTTGCACCCCTGAAGCCTTCAGAGACAATCCAAAGAAAGCATTAACCATCTTGTTGCTGAATGAAAGGGTTTGGAATAGCTTCCATTCCATCCTGTGGACAGATAAGAACCACAGAAGTCCCTCTGCAAACCACGAGTCCCAGCTGACGTGTGTCTTCTGTCAATTTGAATTGGTCATCTGGATCTGAAAAGCAGAGATCCACAGTTACAACAGGAAAATTAAGAAAAAGAAACCAAATTACACACGTGTTTTTTCCAGGTGTCTCTGCATTGAACACATGGACTACATGGTTCAGGCAGCAGTAGTATCTGATGGCTTCAAGACATCACTGATTTACTAATTTTCAAAGCAGGACGTGCCACAGTGAGCAATAAAGAACTTTGCTTTGTACACAACAGAAAAGCAGAACACATTTATTAAAGTATTCAAAGGCCCTTTCATTCATCCAACCAACAGCACATGTGCAAGTGATTAAAAAAAGCTCCTGGTCCCATTTAAAAAATCACTTTAGATAAACATTTGGAGATCAGTGCAAATCAGAAAAAGACCCTGACTTCAGAATATATTAGGGACAGAGAACACCAGTGCATTCTCAGACTGGACCCAACAGGGCTGTGGATCAAGACAGACAAACACACATTACCCAGTTCTACCACCTGTGAGATATCACTATAGTCAATAAAAATGCACTACACATCTTTTAAAAATCCCTTTTAGGAGCAAATCCAAAGCTTCAGGTGTTACCTTGTAAGCAGTCAACTTGCAGTTTCTGCTTATTCACTCATAGATCCATAAGATTTCTGTTAAAAACCAAATCACTCAGGGAAAGGGAAGCTTTCCACAGGCTGCATATTACTTACCTCGCATGTACTCAATGGTACCGTCCAGCACAAGGTTCAGAAGAGGGTCAAATCCTTTCAAGACACCACTTGCTATTGAAGACCACACAGAAAATGATGATTAGAGACCAAAACCAGGTATACAGCAACTCGAGACTTCATGAAAGGTACATTCCATTCTGCAGCCCTGTTCCTTCTTTCAGTCAAGGCTACCAAGCAAAGGAGACCAGAGATACTAAAGAGTGCCCTCTATAGCAACAGTAAGTGCACAGAACCCGGTCTGTGCTGTGCCAACTGAAAATTAGATTTTTCAGTCAATTCTTCAAAATGCTCTTCGAGACATTTTTGCTTTCAGCCTCATTCCAGGGGCATTTTAAGAATACTTCTGCATAACAAATCAATAAAAGTCACATGAAGGAAAATAAAAAAGCGACCCTAAAATCAAATAAATACCCTTAATGAAGGTTTATGATAAAAAAATTAAGCAGGAGTGTAATATTTTAAGTGCTTTTCCTCTTCCAGGTGCCCTCCAAGCACTTTATCTCTTTAGCACAAGCACTGCCTCACAGGAAGGCACCAAAGACAGACTAGCACTTTGTTCTAAAGCAGATCATGATTCCACAAGACTTGTCACCAAATAAATCACAGAACTACACACAGAGATCTTCCAGTTTTAAAAATACACTTATCAGTAAGAAGTCCAAGTAACTTCCAAACCCTTAAAAGCATCAGGTCCCAGTGGGGACATTTAAACCAGCACAGGGTTAACTCAGACAAACAAGTGCCCGGGGGTAGCACTGACAGCTGCCTCGGGATGCACTTCCCAGCTGCAGAGCAAGGGACAACAGAGATGGAAAGGCACGGTGACATATATTGAACCATGAACTCCAGGCACGTTCAGCATGTTCAGAGATGAAAGGCAAGACTGAAAGGCAGGACGGTTGTATTGATCACTACAACCATAAATGTTTCTTTGCTGCTTTAAGCGCGCCCTTGCAATGCAAAAGACCTGCTGAAACAAGGCGGGTCAAGACAGCTAATAAAAGAAGGACAACTAATAAAAGAAGAGGTGCACTGATGAGACGCAAAGATAAAAGTACAGCCAGGAGATTAACGGAAAAGCTGAAGGAGAAAAGCTTCACAGCAATGAATAAAAGCACCCGCTAGTCCTCGCCTTCCTCGAAGGGCGAAGGGAGAGGCAAAGGAGCTCCGGGCTCACCTTCCCGCCCGCCCTGGAACTTCACCCGGATGTTCTTGTCGATGTACTTGGAGAGGTCCAAGATGCTCTCCTTCTTCTTCTTCTCCTTGTCCTACGGCAGAGAGGCACAAGGGCTTGGTCAAAGCCCTCCCGCGGTGACACAGCCCCGGAGCGCTGCTGCGGGTGCCCGCGGCGGCGGGAGGGCAGGGCGGGGGTGCGGGTACGGCACGGCACGGAACGATACGGTACAGCACAGCA